ATCACAAAAATTACATAAGGTTATTTCTATTTATGACAATGATGTTATTATCAAAGATGAACATATTAAATTGATGAATTGTAAAAATCATCATATGCCACTCTGTTTATACTGTTTATCTTGTCAGGTAAAAGATGCGAGATGGATACATAAGGATTGAAGATAACTTTTGTCTTATTTTATAGGAAGTGTGTTGTGTTGCATGTTTGTCAGTTGATATTCATAAAGAACATAGTGATCAAGTCAAATCAGTTGTTGATGTGGCAGATGAAGATAGAAAAATATTGACTGAACATCTCGAAAAAATTCAAAAACTCAAAATAACATATGCGGATGAACAGAATGAACTGTTACAAGCACTTAGAAGTATTTGAATTACTTTTGTTCATTAATCTTTGTTCTTATTGAAATCTTTTCGTAGATATTGACTTCGATGAAGCTGATAATGATCAAGCAATTGATCGAGAATTTGATCGAATCATAGCCTGTACTGAAGCAAGACGAAAAGTATTAAAAAAACAATTACAGAAAAAATCTAAAGTATAGTGTTAAAATTTAATTCTATTTTAAATATTACGAATTATTTTTGTAGATATGTCGGGATAGTATCTATTTAAAACAAGAGGATTTGGAAAATCTCATTGCGAAGTTAAATAGATATTCAGACGAAGGACAGCATGTATTAACATTGAATGATTTCAATGCATTATCTCAATCGAAAGTTATTATTAAAAAAATGAAAATTCTTGAAATGAAAAATATTGAATTCTGTCAACAGAGAGAGTTAAGTAACTCGGTACTATTTCATATATCGAGTCAAATGCTTCTAGATATGATGAATATTATGGGATCTATTGGAGTACCACGTGAGTTTTGATTTTTTCGTAAAAGAATCTCGTCCAAATTGATTATTTTTTTATAGCTGCACCATTGTTTATTGAACAAAAATGTAAATCACATCTTACTCGTCTTGATATTGAATGGGAATCAGTTGATTACGATCCGCCTGTCTTTACTTACGTATTAGAACTTGCACAAAGCGATAATAATTTCATCGAAGTATTCATCAATCTTGTTTTTTATTTTGAAATGATCTTATTTATTATCATCATGTATTTTTAGGTATATCGTGGTTTAAAAACAAAATATCATCTACATGATATGCAACCGAACACACTTTATTTATTGCGTTTACATGCATCTAATGGAGGAGAAATAAAAAATACGTCTATACTTGAAATGAAAACTTTGAATATTGGTTCGTCATGTTCATTCTCAATATATTTATAAATTATTAAACTTTTATCTAATATTTTAGATTTGAACAATTGGACATTATCGATGTCTTCGGTATATCCAACGGCAAAAGCTGAAAACACACATGCATCCTTATTAGACAATCAATTTACAACTGGTGCTGCAACAGATATCGGTGCTGCATGGATTAAAGCTACATTTCCACATCCTGTACCGATTAACAGTGTAACTATTGCACCATTACATAAAGATCCTCATCTATGGGGTGAAACAAACGGAGATTCGGGTAGTTTGCAATATTCTCATGATAATGGAACTTGGACAACTGTTGGAACAATTGAATATGTTCCAATGCATCACCAAAAGATTATCGTCGGTGGTATTACAGCTCAATATTGGCGATTATCTCATGAAGGTTACCTTGGTACAAGTAGTTTTATTTTTCATTAAAAATGACTCGATATACATCAAAATTAAAATTAGTTTTGAAACTTTTATTTAAAATCTTGTTTTTTAATAGTTTTGAGATTAGAAACAAATAGAAATAGGAACTTTTTTTTTCTGATGAGAAAATAAAAAATCAATTTGATATTTTACATAAACCTGCGATACAATTTTAAATGCTATTCTATAATAAATATTGATTAGAATGATTATGAAAAATGTGGGGATAGACCTATTAGCAGAAAAGATTAAAAATACGACGTTACATATGGCTTGATGAAGATGAAAAATAATAAATATCTATTTTATTGAATTTAACTTTTCAGTTTGATATTACTGGAATTTGAACACTAGTTAACAATTCCAGTTTTTTTTGCCAGTTAGTAATATAAAACATCGATATTTAGCTATACCAGCAAGATGTTATAAAGCGCGACCCACTGGAAATTTATTTTGTCATGTTTTACGAAACTGTGAACATCAGTCAGTGAATTCGTATAATTTTCTGATTAATATTGCCTATTGTGAATTAAAAGAAAAGAAACTGAAATAAATCTTAGTTGTACTAGAATTCTATGAACTCACTATTGATTAATATATCTCATCATAAAGTACATTGTTTTCAAATCTAGCATATGCTCAGTAAATGGTCAACTGTCAATAAACTGATGATGATTCCATTCTGTTCTTTAGCATATTGAAAGATTGTAGCTGAATGTAATTAATAATGTGATTTTTGCATCCGTTTTATATACTAACATCAAACAAATACAAAAAATGCATTTAAAGAAGCAGACACAATTTATTTATTGAATTTGTCTCCTCTATCATCCAACATAACAATTAAATCAGGTAAACTTTCATCACTCTTTTTATAATGATTTAATGCTTTGATAGATTTTTAATATTACATACTTAGTATGTATGATATTGATAGCTACCTTCACATTTAAGACGGCGAATAGATTCATAAAGTTAAATATGAGAAAGAACGGTAATACATATTCAATAGTTATGATCTGTTACATTATTATTTGTACGTGAAAGTGTATTTCAAATGTTTGTTATATACCTTTTAAAAATTTAATCCTGAGATTTATCTTGATATATCATAAATATAAAACACTTTAAGAAACGGTTATGACGGAAAAAACAAATATTAGAATATAAATTATTCGATAAGAGTTAGAAATTTAATTGATATTAATAAATAGAACAGTAGTTCTCTTTTCACTTAGAAGATTTAACATTTATACTTATTAAGCAACTAAAAATATGAACGACATTATAATTTAGAATTTTTCAATTCGTTAATTATGAGCCATGTTCTGCTAACTTGATTGTCTCAGCCGACAAAAATCAGATATACAATATGAAAATTATCCTCGATGAATCGAATAAAAAAACGTTCAAATCAACTTATCTATCGAATATACGTTAGTAGGCGTTATGTTAGCGTATTATTGTTCAAAACAATCATGTAGTAGCAATTATTTAACATGCTGTGTTGATAAAGTGAAAAAACCTTGATCAAATGATAATTGATGCAAAATTAATAATACTAAGACTATATTCTCCTATTTTAATTAAGATTATTGAAGAATAGTTTTCAAGTATGTTCGTTACATTATCATCAAAAATTTGTCTCATCATTTTTTTATTAATTTTTGGTATTTAATAACAAATAAAAAGTGAATATTTCATCGAAGAATTGAATTTATCAAGTTTTGTAACTAAATGGTACAACTAGGAAAAAGTGTCTTTGACTAATGATAATATTTATTCACGACTCAGATTGATTATTAGAAATAAACAGTGATGTATACTTCAACAACATTGGTTTGCTCATTTACTCTTTGGATATGAAATCTTTGTGTACTTAAAGTTTGTTTTTATGAGAAAGGCATCATTGTTCTATTCAATAACTGAAATATGTATGTTAAGACATTTCGATCTCATATATAAACTTGAATATGAGAAATTTCAAATGTTTATATTGTACTTTTATGAATGTTCTTAAAAGGTATTATATTAATTATCGTAAAACATATACTATGCATAATCTTGAGTATTCTGTTTAGTATTAGATTTTAAATTAAACGTCAATAGTTAAGACGAGTTACCCTAGCTTATTGACCTTTCAAATAAATATGTTTCAAATTTCCTACTGTTTTTGTTCTATTGATTAAATTTTCTAGGAACGTATTTTTCTGACAACATAATTATTTGAACTGACATGAAACATACTATTCCGCGGTTGCATAATTAAAACTATTACAAATCATTAACAGATATGATTAAACTAAAGTTCAGCGTATCTAAGTATCCATATGTAATTTAACTTCGTGGATATTCATATCAATCATCGTAAGTGAAAATTATAAATATTCTTCATTTTTTAATAAGATTAAAAAGCGAAGAAGAAATTGAGCATAATTTTAAAAATAAAGAGATTTATTTTTCTCATCTATTTTTCTATAATCAGATTTAATATCATTAATGTTATAGTCTAAAAATATAAATTTCTTCTTCTTGCCATTAGATAATTGAATAGTTAGATTATTTTTAAGATTTTTATAAAATAAAAATAATGTATTAAAATTTAAAAACTACAGCATATTGGCGAGAAAACATGTCTTCTTTAAGAATTACTTAACGTACGTCACTTTTTACCGATTTGTACTGAATAGTATGACATATTTTATTTCACTTCTTCAATTATTAGAGCTTTATTAACAGTCAATAACGTTCGAGGAAAATATAGAACATTACTTTTACTCTAATTAGTTTTCATGAATAAAATATAGAAAACGGATTTTCACTTAAGACATGCTACAAGTATAGAAGAAAGAGATACTCTCAATGGAAATCATTGTTGTTTTATCTAGGTACATTCAATTTTTGTTGAAATCATTAATCATAAAAGAAAATGTTTTTGTAACTTTATATTAATCAGATAAATATATATATCCGTATGAAAAAAATTTCTATAGTATTTAATCCTACTAACGTCATACAAAATAATTACATTATCTATTTTCGTGATTCTTTTGAATATAAGCTAAATGATAAAGAATATAAATAATTAATAGCAGCTAATAAACCTGATAAAATTATCATCTTAATACATAACATCTTGTTGAACTGTTCCAGGATGCTAAATAATATATTTATTTGAGAATGCACCGGTTTTGTTTGTGCGCAGTTTTTGTTCAATTTAGAAAAAGAATTACTTCTCTCATTTAAAATTAGTATATTTTGGTATAGTAAAGGCTTTATGTCAGTCAGACTTAAAAGATATGTCCCGAGTGGGCAGAGTAGGATGTATAATGATATTTTTCTAGGTAGACACTAAGCTCGGTGTGAACAAAAAGAAATGTATAGGCCATATTAATTTCATTTATTCAAATCATTTGTAAAATAATAATAAACAGATTAAATCAAACATATATATATATATGGTTGTTTTGCATGTAGTTCAATAATTTCTTAACTTTGTTGTCACTTGAGTATAGTTTCAAACAGTATATTAGTTAATATACATTTAGTCTTTTCTTATCATATCAACATCTATAGAAAAATAATGAATTTGTAAGTGAGACTTAAATATATATTCCATTAAAATTATTGTATAGTTACTTGTTTGATATTCTGAATAGGACTTTGTTAATTAAAGACATGTTCGGATTAATTCTGTATATTAGAGAGAAAAAAGAGAGAAAGAAATGACTGTAGGAAATTAACTACTAATATTATGGTTGTCATTTTAGACTCGTTATTTCTTACATAAAAAAAAAGAGAAAAGGATAGAGAGTGAGACAAAAAATAAAATCTTCATAATCTTTTTCTCAAATTTAGTCTTAGAAATAATTAGATCTGGATACATGTTTTCAACAGACCAGAAATAATGATCCGATTTTCTAAGTATATCATTATATATTAAAATTGATGAGTACAAAGTTATTTCTAAGTATGATTGATAGAAAGATGACGTCTTTTTTTTTAAAGTTATTTTCATGTAAAAGACTATAATTATACGGTCTGATAAATAATATGTAAGTATATTGATTTTATTCTGTATTTCGGAACGTTCGTACTTTGAAGACACTTCTATAAGAATGTTTTACTAGCTGTATATAATCTGTGAACTAAGTGGCACGCTATGTCTACTTTATCTTTTGTTACGATAGATTAAGATGCATGTACCTAATATTTTGAAAATGAACTATTTCTCCTTGTAGACAAACTATAATTTATCTTTATTATGAATGTAACAAAAAGTGAAATCCAAGGTCTTGCTGACTTCAAACGTTTAATCGAAGGTTATTTACTTTCTTGCGTATGTATAATTGGTCTTATTGGTAATTCAATCACATGTTTATCAATATTATCTAATCGTATACGTCGATCATCTCCAACAGATATTTTTATATGTAGTCTTTCATTTACATCAATATTTGTTCTTGCTGGATTTTTATTAACACATGGTATTCGTTCAATATTTCATCAATATGGTGAAAAACTTTATCATTATTTATTTATACGAATTTTTCCTCCTCATATAACATTTTTATTAATACAAATATATTTAACAGCAGCTATATCAATTGATAGATATTTATTAATATGTAGTTGGCGTACAATGACATATCGAAAATGGCGAACATCAAAACGAATGCTGTATATTATAAGTGGTATAACAATATTTTCTATTATATATTGTTTACCATTTTGGTTTGAATATGTTGTTATTAATAATGAATATATTAGTTTAAGTTCAATTGGTTCACATCCAATATTTCGTTTATTAATGAGACAATATCTTTATTTTATATTTATTTTTCTTTTACCAATGTCATGTATAATAACATGTACATTATCAATTGTATATACATTATATAAACATACAAAAACAAAATTTAAATCTCATTCAAATCCTTGTCGAAGAAAAAAACATTCAAGAAAAATTAATACATTATTATTATCAATTATGATTATATTTCTAGTAACACAATTACCATATTTTATATATAATGTTATATATGCATTAGAAGGACCAAGTTTAATGCAAAATCTACGTGCTAGACAATATTTAGTTATTAATAATTTACTTTCAACTATTAATGCATCAGCAACTTTCGTTCTATATACACTTTTTGGAACGAAAAAAGTTACCTATCCTCAACAAGTTTAAAATTAGTTGAACAGTTTTAATGCAATTTTATTGTAAAAACTTTAAACTATATTTTTTTTCTGATTAAATAAAATTAAAATTTATCCAAGAAAAACAATTGGATTGTTTTGACCATATCGAATTTTAATACTTTTGCAACGCTTTTCTCATGAAGCTTTTTTTGCTAGATAATGTGTTTTTATATATTAGTTTGCTTTGCACTAATTAATAAAAAACATATCAAACGAAAATACATGACTATTTATCGTCGAATGATAGCTTTAATGTCTATATAATTTGTCACAAATAGTACTGAAATTTGTGCATCGTCCTACAATGAATTAAGAGTCGATATGGGTATAAAAATGGCGATAGACATGGTGATAAATAAGTGCAATATTGCACTCAGCCTCTTTATAAAACACAATTTCGGGATAAAACTTAGTAGTCAATATATATTGTAAATATTATCAAAATATATTATATCCAATGTCTGATCTATTGAAGTAACAAAATAACAACATAATATATGCTTTAGGTACTATCGCTAGATATAAGCATGAAATGAAAAACAACGATTTTTCTTATCTATTTTTAACTAAAAATAAACAGTATTTTTCGATCAGTGAAATATGTTTTTGGTTTTTCTTAGATTTTCATGTATATATATATCGACGAATAATTTTGTTTTTATTAATTAGACGGTTTATAAACTTAATGCACTTTCGAGATTTTCTATATATTCAAAACGTATTATTCTAATAAAAACTGAAATATTTTTCAAGCACCATTGATTTCCAATTGTTTATTAATGACGTATATAACATAAACATAATAAAATATCATGTTGTTTTTATTTGATAAAGAAATTTTTCATCATACTTCCCTTTTCGCATACGTTTGTAAGGTTATTAATTATCATGTCATATTATTCAGGTGGGCTACATAATGGAAGAAAATATATATATATATTGAAACAAGTGGGCAATTTTTTTTTGTAAACACCTACACATGCACGCCGATGGAATATTACAATAAATTAACCTTCGTATTATTGAAGGTTGAAAGTTAATAAAAATTGAACACTATATAGTTTTATTATTTATCATCATAAAATTCGATTAGAATAATATATTTGAATAATACCATGTCGATTTTCATCGTAATATTTGTCCTATAAAAACTGTTTGTAATACTAACACTTGAGAGTCATGGACAGTACTATTTATTATCCACATCCATTAACAATTGAAATAAACAATATATATCCAATCTAATATTGATACAATCGTTTTCAAATATTATCTATAAAATTCTTTATTGGATGACAAATCATAGATGATAACAAGGGAGAAAAAAGGAAGTAACGAAGATTTTCTTTTTCTTCTTCTCTCAAATAGAGTTTAATCAAAATAATTAATTGATTAAAACAATTCTTATTTATATATTTTTCTATCTAAATGTATTATTTGCATAACAAAAGAAATTTCAATATCGTTAGATAAAAAAATACACAAATTATTTATTAACGAAGTATAAAAGCCAAATCAATTGTGGATTACAAGAAAGAAACTATTATTCAACGAAAAAGACGAAACCAAATTTTATATTATTACTTTATTTATTATCGATACCAATAATGATCATTAATACCTTTAAGTGTAGGCATTGATAATCGACGCTGTAAAGGATGATGACGCGTTGGTGTTCTCATCATCATCATCATCATTTTTTGTAAATGATTCATTTTATTTCGACTATGATCTCTTATACGTTTTTCATCGTAATTATGACCCGGCACAACTAATCTACGAACAGTTGGTTTATAATTTGTACGTGGTATTATATCCGTTATAGCCCATAAACCATCTAAATAATTAATAAGACGTTTTTCTAATAGATAATCATATGGAATATAAAAATAACCATCGATACCCTAATAAAAATAAAAAAACAAAAAAAAATATTGATTTATCTCTTCATTTTTTTCTTCTTCTGTTACCCAATCTCTTCCCCAGGAATTTCGTACAAGAAAATGTCTTGTTCGATCATCATAACCAACAATTAATACAGCATGTGTACCAGTTAATGCAACAGTAAGACTATTTGGATCAGGCATTGATATATATCCATTATTTCTTTTTGCTTCAGATGTTGCAGAATCTAATAATTTAATTCCAATTAAAAATGGAACTTCATTTGCTAGACATGTTTTCATTGCAACTAAATTTCTTGGAAGTTTTAGTGGAATGACAGTGACACGACTTGCAGCTTCATAAACATAGGGTGGAGGTTCTTTATTAAGTAAACGTTCATCATATGGCCATAAACGTTCTTCACATATACCAAATTTACGCATACCTAAAACAGTATTCTGTTTTGATGCACCATCATCAGTTACTTCAAGACTTCGTTGATCAATCATTTGTCCATTATAATAAATAAATAAACGTGATACATCAATATGTTTATGAAAACGACGATTATAAATATATTCACAAGCACCAGCAAACGCATTAGCTGCACTAAAATTAAATTAAAAAAAAAAGATGAAATTTTTTTTTTAGTTTAAATTATATTGTATAAATATATATATATATGTACCAAGTTGACATATCAGCTTGGTCTTCAACTGGTGTCATGTATCGACGAAGATCTACATGATGAGGTAGTCGATGTGATGGAAATTGAAGTGGACGCATAGCACGAGCTCCTCCATCGACGGATACTGATTGATGCCACCATGGATGATTAGCAGGCCACATATTCTTTTAGTTATAATGATGACTTGAATATGTATGTATAGACGAAATATCTGCTGTACACACACCTCTACAGAGAAGCGAATGGTGGTAGAAAAAAAGACAACAACAACAGCAAAATATCATTCGACTGTGACCGTGTATGATATATATGACTCAAGGTTATATCAACGATTTACCTGACATGCATCGCGAAAGTTACTCATATAAGTGGACTCATTTTAATAAAAGATGATTCGTAGGTATATAATAAAAGTATTCGTTTTAGAGAAAAATAATGAATATATATATTAAATTATACTTAGTAATAAAAAGATTATATAATAGTTCAAAAGGATATTTGATTCAGAAACAAAAATTTTGTATTACACGCTGCTTATCTATTAATGAATCAATAAAAATATTTTTTTTCATTACTCAAGGATAATTTAGTCATCGGAAAGAGAAAAAACCTATAGAGATACTCTATGTTGAATTGTATCAATCATGAACATAAAGAAATATATTACTCATATAATCGATATAGACATGGATATTTGGAGACGATCATTCGTCTGTAACGAGCATGGTTATATGAGTAAAGGCAAAAAAACGCACTCCACATAAAATACAGTTACATTAATAGTTTTGCATAAAAAAAAAGGCAATCGCGTATGTCAAATATGAAAATGTTATTCATTGTATTCGATATTACGTACTTTATTCATATAAAAAAATTTTAAATTTACAGTTTAAAATAGTCGAATGAAATATTTTTTTCTATTCCTTTATATATATATACATACATATATGTAAGCATGTGATAAATTCGAAAAAAGAGAATGATTGTATATATTGCCTTTTCATCACAAATTAGTTATTGAACAGCATGTTAATATTAATAGTCTTTTTCGAGTACTTTCTCTTCTATATAAATATTACATAAAATCTATTTTTTGTTATGTGTTATACTACAGTTATTTTAAATTGATATTATGATAAAGTTAAAATTAATTAGGTAATTATTTGATAAAATGCTGATAAAATTAATGTATTTTATAAACAAAGATTTATTTTGAAATATTAATGATATTTTCTCAAAAAATAAAATATATTTTAACCATTTATTTTATTCATCGAAATAAAATTAGCTTATTATTAAATCTTTCTACTTGTAAAAGTGTATGCACATTAAAAATTAATAGGCTATTTATTTTATTCAAAATATAATGAATCATATCATTGTTTGCACTTTTATAAGACAACGATATGTGTTAATAAGGTAAAGAGAAAAAAAAAACAAAAGCACATGTATTATTACACTAGAATGTTAGAAAATAAAACCACAAAGCATAACAATTTAGTATATATCTATGAGATGAATAAAAAAAAGAAAGAAAATGCTATTTATAGATATAGGAGATTTTTATCCGAATGGAGAAGTATAACAGTATAAACATTTGACTAGGATTATCAGGCATGTTTATGTAGATGGAATGATCAGGTTAAAAAGAAAAATTTTCCTATTTGATTGCGTGTGTGTTTATGTTATAAATCTTTATAATTATCTAAATATTGTAAAGAAATCATTTGTAAAAATAAATTTAAATTCATACCTGCAGTCGGTGTTGTGTCGGAATCTGAACTATTATTGTCTGTTTTTGTTTCATTATTAAGTGGAATTTTAGGAGTTGTTGTTGTTGTTTTTGGTTTTGGAACAAAACGTTGTGCTTTAGTAAGTAGATAATTTGTTTCACGTTTTAATGCATTCACTTTTTCATCGATATCAGTTGATAAATATTTTGGTGTATCAGTCGGAGTTAATTTAGAAAAATCTTGTAATATTTGGTCACGCCATAACTAAAATTTTCTTCCGTTGAATAATTAAAATTATTTAAAAAAAACTTACGTTTGTATCTTTAATCATTTTTTCTAAATGTTTAATTTCGATTTCACTAATTGGTTTGTCATCTTCAAGATCTTTTCTTAAAAATAAAGTACGTGTTGCATAAAGAAACTGCTCGGTTTGATTAAGAGTATCTTTTAATTCTTGAAGTTTTACAGGACGTAAATCAACTTCACGTACACGAGTTTTTAATGATTTTGTTATTGTTTTTAATTCATCTAATTTCGATTTTAATGTCTATGAAATAGAAAATAAATCAATTGAATAGAAATATATATGTGCATACTTTAACATCAGCATTGAAACCTTCATCACCTAACCATGTATCAATTTCAGTTAATTTTTCAATAATTTTTGTTTGTTCATGTGATGTTGACGCTTTTTTATATTTTGAATCATGTTCAAGTTTATCACGAATATCATAGATAAATGTTTCAAGATTATTTTTAGCAGTTGATAATGCGATTAATTCACGATCATGTGCATCCAACTCGGATAATCTAAATAGTTATCTTAGTTTAAGATTATCTGATTTACTGTGATGTCTTTAGATTGATATATCTCTAGAAATGACTTATACAAAGACTAGAATTCAGTTCGTATACATGTGAACTTTACAATCAAAGTATTAATTAGATAGTAAAACCTTTTTCTTTCAATTTAAACGTACTGAGACTTCTAAATGTGTATAGTGAATCCTTAGAACAATATTAATTTTACTTTTTCTTTGAATTTGTTTGAGCTTCAGAAGATGGATCAGTATAATCGAGTATTTCAACTTTAAACTCTAATGATTCGCGAATAATATTTGGTTTTGGTGTTGTGTTCGATGATGCATTAGTTGTCGTCGATGATGCTGTATCATTGGTTGTATTAGTTCCTTCTATAGTCTCCAAATTAGTAAAATATTTAGACAATAATCAAATAATTTTACCTTTATTATCAACAGTTTTTTTTGTTTCTGAACTATCAGTGGGTGTATTTTCTGTTGTTTCCTTGACTTCGTCATTTGAGCTTTTTGATGAAAAAAAACTTGAAATTTTACTGCCTATTTCTAATTTACATGAAAAAAAAATAAACTGAAAGATCAGAAAGAAATATGTAACAAAACTTACTTGATAATGTTGATTCTTCTTTAGGTTTTGTATCATTGTTATCTATATCAACACCTTTTTTTCCAAAAATAAATTCAATCTAATAAGAAAAAGAATTCTAAATCAATAGAAATCATTTTAAATAACATACTCGATCAAGAACAAGAAGACAACTATCATCTAATTGAAAATGTGCTCTTACACCTTTAGATTCCATTGTATCTTTATGTTTATCATACGTTTTATTGACACCGGTAACATGTATTCGAGATAATTCTGTAATTCCAAGTGCACTAAAATGATTAAAATAGAAATTAAATTTTTCTTAATTTTCTTCTCTTTACTGTTTATCATTTGATGAAAGATATGTTAAATCTCCATAATGAATATTAAATGAAAAATCGTCTGTATATTTATTAAATGTCATTAATTTACGATTTGGATAATGATTATTATGATCAAATAATATTCGATCAATTAACTTTTGATCCATAGTATCATTATGTCGTTCAAATTCAACATTTATTGGATATTGATTAGTATCTTTAACAAGAAACTTTTTAACACGATAACCTTTTGAAATAGCTGCAGCTTGATAAACGGCACCCATTGCAGCAGCTTCATCTGTATTTAAACTTTTACCAAGTTCAATTCTAAGTAAAACAAAAATAATATTAGAAAAAAATTAAATAACAAAAAACAAACCCGCCAAGAGCTTTGGTTAATTCATTTTGAACACGAGGAATACGTGTTGAACCACCAAATAAAAGTACTTGTTGAATTTCACTCTAGAGATAAAGTATGAAATGTTTATTAATTAATTAAAAATCATTCTTACGAATTTAATTCCACTTGTACTAAGTACTTCTTCGATAGGTTTTTTTACACGTTCAAAAAGATCAACACATAAGTTTTCAAATTCTTCACGTGTTATTCGCTGTTTAAAATCAATTTCATCAATTAAACCTTCAACTTGTGCTGTATATTCATTATTAGCACTTAAAACATGTTTAGCTCTTTCGGCTTCACGAAATAATTTTGTTAATGCTCTTGAATTTTTATATAAATCAATTTTTGAATGTTTTTCATGAAATTTTTTTGCTAAATAATCTCGTAAACGTATTTGAAATTCTAGCCCACCTAAATTACGATCAAATGCAACAGCTTTTACTGTTACTTGTGGTACTTCTTCAACATAACCATGTTCTTTTGTTTTAATTATATTATATGTTGCTATTGTACATGTTGTTGATTGTGAACCCATATCATAAAATAAATAAGTTGAACCAGTTGAATTAAAATATTTTCGACGAAATATACCATAGTTAAGTGCAACAGCTGTATTATCATTCATCAATTGAAGTAATTTTATATCAGCTAAATCACAGGCACGTTTAACAGCACGTCGTTCTGATTGAGTAAAATAAGGTGGAACAGTTATAACAGCAGCATCAACAGATTGTTCAGCAAAATCTGTTGCATATTCACGAGCTTTTCTTAATATCATTGAAAGAAGTTCTTCAATAGTATAATTTGTTTCACTAAAAATAATTCAAGTTGTTTTTAAAGTATATCTATTGGTAAAAATTCATGCTATAAATGTCACACTGATAACATGTATCTTTCTTTTTGTTACTGTTACTTGAACTAAAATCGGAAAATGATATGCAGAAAGGCCACGCATCGAATTATTTCCGATAGTGAGACGATCAGTTGAGTATGTTTTTCAATCAGCTATCGAATCAATTGACTTCAAAACTGCTCAAATCGCATAGTTTTTTATGCTTTACCTTGAATACTTAGAAGGAAGTAGACGGTAAGAAGCATTCGTGTTAGAACTCAAGAAAGAAAGAACACGGCATCTGCTAGGTTGATTTTAAATGAGATTATGATAATTATTATATGAATACAAGTTTATTCCGTACACATACAGGCCTCGGAACCAAAAGATTAATAACTTTAATGAGAAAATTCAATATCAGTAATACACCAATTCTTTAGGAGTAGGACCATTATTGATATTTGTTTAAATTTCGAAAGAGTTCGGTAAGTCAATTGCTTACTACTTAGAAAATTCTTGGCCATATATCATTCATACGGGAAGAAAGAGATCATATTTCAAGTCTTTCTATCTAAGATTTCTAGTGAAAACAAACAGCATGTATATCAGAGAACTCAATACTTCGTACACATTTTATTATTTTGATCAGTTCAAATTACTAAGCCACAACATTATTATAACACGAAAATACCTTTTGTTTTATATCCAAAAGAATATGGAAAATAAATAGGAAATTTTCCAAAAGCTAATTCATGTATTTTTTTACCTGTCATGTTGAAAAACAAGTTGATGTGTTTGTGCATCTGTTTTTAATTTATAATATGGAAATCTTTTTAAATACTGTTCGATAATTGGATTATCTAATGTTTTTCCAACTAATTCACGTAAATACATGTAAGATTGTGCTGGAATTTTACTTGACTAAATTGTTTGAATAAGAAAAAATAGTTGTAATATAACAAAAATATTCTTACTCGAGATATAGCTGCGTCACCAAATTCACGATCTTTACCTTTAATAGCAACAATAACTGGCGTTTTTCTTCGACTTTCTCTATAAAAATCAAAATTTTGCATGATATATTAAAATGTAAATATAAAACTTACTTATTCAAAGCAATTTCCATAGGAATACCTGGTTTAACAACACCAATTTTCATAAATTCTGTACCAAGATCAACTGACATTACAGCATGACTATCAACTCTGAGCATAACTGCAGTCATGCAAATAAAAACAGCAAAGACAACTATTTTTAAACGGATCATAATTGTAATCTAGAAAAAAAACGCAGCATGGCTACTTTAGAAACATTTGTTTTTCTATTTCCTATCTTATACAAATATGATTAAAAATAAAGAAATGGTTATAAGTTTTCGGATGAGTTACTTTCTATTACTATTTAATTTTCTTGTTGTCTCAATTGTAATTCATCATTCTTATTATTTTTTTTTTAATTTTTACTTGTCCTTGAATATTACTAGTTAGTTTTGTTAACGTGTAAACATATTTTTCTATAATACATAGTTTGTTTTTTCATATTGTCAACGATCAATACCATATTACTAATAATAATTGAGTTGGAGTATTAGATAATGAAGAATCTTTAGGAAAATTCAGGAAGAATTAAAACAAAGATTCTAGAAAAATATTTCACTACTCGCTTGTTTGATGATTATTTTCAAGAAATTGTGTTGTATTTGATAATCTGCGAGCATATTTGTAACACGCAAGTTTTTCTTTATTTTGTTGAACTTGCACTAAATGCATTCGTTCATATTCAAATTGTAATATACTAGACGATGTTTTCATCGTAGTACTATAGGTATACATGAGAATAATTGTGCCAATCGATAGAAACATTGTAAACATAATAGATATCAAAAGTGATCAGGATAATGATTGTTCATTGTTGTTGGTATCGCTGTCGATAGGTAACATTTAACTCATGATTGCCTGAAGTTACACTAGTACGTTGATAATGTTTCTTATTGATATTATTGTAATATAATAGGGAAGGAGAGATATATAATAAGGATATATGCGATGAGGAATTCACATTCATTAATGATTTTGATGTGGAATTACGTGGATGTTGTTGACTAGTGGAATGTATGTGTTTATTGAAAAAAATAGAATATTTCTGAGTATATTCAATTAATATAATGAGTAGAAAAAAGTAATATTAATATATCTCAACTCGGCATGGCATGGTTGGTCGATTTGTCTTGTTTCGTAATAGGAAATAATTGACAAATTAAATTTTAAACACTAACCTCCAAAAAAACAACATCGAATAGATGGAGCAAGTTATAAATGATAGATTCTGACGTTATATATAGAAAATGAATACTTCATGAACACTAAAAATAACAATATTTACTATTCTAATAAAATTTTTATGAAGCCAATCAATTAATTGAGATTACAAAGTTTTATTTTTGTGACAAGTTTGTTATGTATTGTTTTGATTTGTTAAATAATTCAATATTAGCAATTCAATTACGATAGTAATTTACTTAAATAGAATTTCTCTCAAAAACTATCTGAGAGCATTCATAGTAGCATTTATATAACATGTAAATGTGTTCGTAGAACCCATAGCATACTACTTTAGAGCAATAGATTTTTCCATGTAACACATATATGAACACTTTAGATCCGCATTGGCTCTTAGATGAAGATATAGAACGACGAAAATCGATATTGGTCCTAAAAATTTTTCTCATTTTAAGAAAATTTCCAGTTAACAAAATGGTAGTAGTATAACCTTTTAATAATAAACTAGATGAGGAAAGTACATTTTTATCTATCGTAGCAGCGACTAAGAAGACTTAAACATTTTTCATCTCTTGACGACAGTTGTTTGAATTAGATTACTATTCTTCAATCATCCGTATATAATGAAATATTTGTATAAAACAGGAATTGTTTTGCTTTATATTAATTATGTATGTCCTATAAAGAGTGACAGGAAAACACATTTAATCGAAATGATCAATCTTGTTTTATATTACACGCCGTGTTCTCTCGGGAAAAGTTTTATGTTAAAATTCTACTAAAATATTCTTTTTACATTTTTGTTTAATTTGTAACAGAACTGATTTTTATACTACCATTTTTCTTCTATCGATACCATATGTACTTTTATGCATACAAAATATAAGAATAATTATATTACCATCGTGTTAGTTTCTATTTTTCTATACTTCGTCGATTTTTTCTCAATATAAAGTATTATCTTCTCACTAAAAATGACTAGTTAAGTAAACTCTATTTTATTGAAAAAATATGCATATATAGCCTAATCGGTTTTAACTTTGAAGAATTAAATCTACGTATTTGTATTGAAAATTTTCAGAAGACTCTTTCGTTTTGGTCCATTACATTTAAAATAGAAGTTTAAGGACTAAACAATAATCTTAACTCAAGTATTTATAGTCAGCGCAACATACATGTTAGGATGAATAAATTAGCAGAGAATAATATGGTTAAAGAAGACTTTGATATATGATTAGTAGAATAATATGTTGACAGGAGTGCTTTTATAGTAATATGTGATAGAGTTATTATTTTCTTATAGAAGAAACAGACTTGAAAGACTATTCTATTTCATCAATATCAATAAGAATACTTAGTATTACATATAGGACTATAAGACTTAAAAATTAGATAGTCAGTCTATTAAAGAACTTTTCTTTTTTTTTAAATATATTCTAATCACGTTGAATGATATCTGAAAAACAAAATCCCATTATTTATATTCGATTATTCTTTTCGTCAAATTAGAATAATACAACAAAAGGAATTATATTATCGATATTTTTTAATATATTTCTATTAAAACATTTAACTGAGGTCCTTTTTGATTTCCATCGATAATAACACATGCTGTGGCACAAACATACTTATCTAATCTACGTAACATTTTCTTGCGAATGAGACACGTATAAGTACAAGGGGATAATAGGTCGTACCAATTTTCTTAACGCTGAGTGATTTTTGTTTATGTCTGATAGAAACTTGCTATTAATATTTTTTGTTTTTTTCCTCTTGTAATATTCTTTTTTTCTTTCTCGTACCACCCATGTATATTATTATTATTATTATTGTAAGATTCCTTGTTTATCTCTCAGAAAAACACCATTATTTAGGTTTATGATATTTTTTATCTGATAATTTTCAGTTCCAAACTTATTGATCATGCCATTTTCAATTGAAAATGGGACAACTGATTACACTAATATTGTAAGTATTGCAACAGCATCTGTATTATGTTTTACATGTATCTGTGGTGTTCTCGGTATGTTTTGTTTTGATTTGAAAAAGATTTTTGTTTAAAAAAAATTATTTAGGCAATACAATTGTAATTGGTGTTGGTATTTTAAAACGAAAATATCAAAATAATGTGACTAATTGTTATATTATAAATTTAGCCATAACAGATCTTCTCTTTTTACTTGTTTCCGTACCATTAACTACTTATTTATCTATGCAAAAAGCATGGATATTTGGAGAATTTCTGTGTAAAATACCTTTTTATTTCGCATATGTATGCATTATTATATTGTATCAAATAAAACTATCTGATGATAACAATTATTCATAGGTTTTATTACAAGCAACTTGTTATACATTAGCTGCTATGAGTATTGATCGATATTTGACTATAGTTCATGAAGGATGGTATCGTCGATATCGAAAACCAAAGTATGCTCTCATTATATGTATACTGATTTGGACGGGTAAGATTATGCTTATTTTTTTAAATATCATATATATATTGTACAATATCTCTGTTATAAACACTATGAAAAACCTAGTCTGTGATTATCTTTCCAATTAAGATAATAATTTGATCATCTGGTTTGCTATTTTTCTAGTTTCCAGTGTTTTTATGTTTCCATATGATTATTTATTACATCGTGATAACGAAACAATTAATCAATCATTAGTTATACTTGAGTGTACTGTTAATGATAATGCTTCTTTTTTATCATGTCTATCTACATTTGGATTTTATTATGTATTACCATTGTTAATTATTATTCTATGTTATTCTCGTGTTTCATCATACATACGATATCATGGTATTAAAATACTGACACATCTTGTACGTATTAATATTCTCTAGAATTTACTCATTAAATAATTTTTCGCTACCAAGCGTTATATTAATTTTCCATCGTACACAGTGAGAATAAAATTCCTATGATAGTATTAAATGTTTGTGGGAGTATTCAAATTAGTATTCATCAAAATAACAGTAATACGAAATGAGTATTTATAATTTAGTTCAATGAATAATCAGGTCATGTTAACTTTGTAAATATTGATGTTTACACATGAGATTCTATTCATAATAATTACAAAAGTTTATAATTATATCATTAATGATTTTTATTATAGTCTGGTCGAACTTCTCAAGTAATCTATCTGAGAGGACGTCGTGTACAACGCATGTTATTAGGTTTGATATTGGCGTTTGCACTTTGTTGGTTACCAATTCATGTACTTGAATTATTAAATTGTTCACAAATTCTATCAAATACAATCGATTCCAAACATATACATTTTTTAACAATTATTCGAATTATTGCACATGGATTATCATATTTTAATTCATGTTTAAATCCTTTTCTTTATGCTATTTTAAATAAGAGTTATTTTTCTAGTAGGTGATAATATAAATTTTTTGAATAAATCAAATTTATTCTGTTTTAATATATTGATGATGGTCGCGTTGGCAAAACTAACTTATTAAATAATCACTTTCATAAATTTATATAAAAATTTCTTATTTATATTTTTAACAAAGAAAAACCAACAATTATTTTATTATATCAAAGTATATCTGAGAATATTTTATTTCGAAAATTCATAATGTCCAATTTTTCGAATATTTGCTTCTGTAATTGTAAATGAATCAATATGATAATGACTACCACCTACAGCAATTTTAATATCTTCATTTTCTTTCATTGAAGTATTGTTTATTGTTGTAGCAATTGTATAAATGGGTGAGGGAGTTGTTGGACGACTTATTGTCATTGCTTGTTCATCACCATTTTTTGGTATTGAATATAATTTATTTGTTTCACCACCAACAAGTATTGTATCATCATCAGCTGAACATAATGCTAGAGAATAAATTGGTGTTGGAATAGAATTATAAACAAGTAATGGTTTTTGTTTTGTTGATGAACTTAACATAGCTAAATGCCAAAGTGATAATGGACATTCACCACCAATTACCAAACGATCTGTAGCCATATCAAATGCACAACAACTAATCCATTTTTTTGTTTCAATAGTATGAATTGGTTGATGAGAAGATGATGATAAATCCCAAATTTTGCATGTTCCTACAAGACAATAATAATTTTACTCTAGTATTACAAAATTTTTCATAAAGTTCAAAAACATGGAGTATTCTTACCATCTTCTGAACAGGAAGCAACACGTTTTCCATCATTAGCAAATGCAACTTGATGTATAGTTCCTTTATGAGCTGCATCAACTGTTGTTACTAATGTTTGTCGTTCAATATTTAATACTCTTAATGTTCCAGTACTTGATCCAACGATGATTTCATCTGTTTTTTGTTGTTGTTTTTTTGTTGGAGCTTGTACACAAACAAATATTTCATTAGGTCCACGTGCAAGATCAAATGAAAATGCATCCGATGGTAATGGCGTTGTTCTTTTATTTGATATTATATCCGACCAACGATAACCTTGTACAAGTCCATTATGATTACTACCACCAACAACAATTAACATTCCATTAGCAGATGATGCAAGTGAAATACTATTATTATTATTATTGGATATGGAATTATTTTGTGATTGATGTGTATTCGATAAAGTTGTAAGAAATATTGGTTTTGATGATATTTGAGGTGACGAATAAAATAATCCTAAACGACCTTGATCATCAGAAGCGATTAAACGTGTATTATCTGGCGAGAAAACAGCTGACATAATACAAGTATTAATTCGATCAATACTTGTATTGTATGAATCAAGATAAGCAGTTGTTGAAGGCATTCTATTAATTATGAAGATTTCTATCTAAAAAAAATAATCGAATAAATAGGATTACAAAAACAAAAAAAAAATAGTTTATTTTTATTAAAATATTATTTCATATGTTGACGAATAAATGTAAAAAAATGTTGACGTGCATCATTTGTAGAAAATTTACTTGCAATTGTTCCATGTGTTGTCTTACCACCAATAATCTGATATTCAACCGGATATTTACATTGACGAAATTTTTCAACAAAACGTCGTGCATCAACTTCTAAACCCATATCAAATCGGGCTGACATTACAAGAAATGGCGGTATTTCTTCATTCTCCTTTATATATTCAATAGGAGAATATTCAAGCATAGTTTTATCTTTTGGAAAAAGTAAACTACTTGAATAAAGTATACGAAATACTATATTACGAAAATTATATTTGGAATCATGAGTTGGGTTCGATAATGAATAAATTCCACTCATAGCTATAACACCTCGAATTGATGATAATGGAAATTGATGACGTTCGAAATAAGACTTGTCAAGAGTAATTAAACTAATTAAATGGGCACCAGCGGAATGTCCAGAAAGAAATATTTGATCAGGATCGGCTTGTGGATAATGTTCATTAATATGATCACGAATATAAACTAATGCAAGAGCTATGTCATCAACCATCTAAGTAAAACAAAAACATCTTTTCTTTGTTTCGAAAAGTTTATTTCAAACTTACATGATCAACATTAACTGGTTCTCGAACTCCATAAAAAAGTTTATAAGCATAAATAACTGCCATAAATGCGATATAGCCAGTAAAAAGTTGCCAAGAAAGGAAAGCAAGTGAAGGAATTGATATAATTATGCCAAATATGAGTGACCAAGTCAAAAATGAAAGAAGAGAAGGGCTTGCTAAACGATAGGATACAACAACGCCCACTAAACCTTCTTTAGCACATGTTCGACCAACTGATGGACCACCACGCCATTCATTTGTACGGCTACCACGAACCCAACCACCACCATGAATATGAACAATAACTGGTACTTTCTTTTGAGTATCTCCTTCATCATTTGATGATAATAAATTTGTTGATGGCGCAGGAAGAAATATATCTAATTTATGATTAACATGCGCATCGGAACCGGAAAAATAAGCAACATCGCGAATAATTAAAGATGGATCATATTGTGGTGTGAGATGCAAACGACGAGCTAAAGAAGATAGAATGGACATCTAAAATAGAGAATAGAAATCAACAATAAATTTCTATCAAACATTCAACTTTGGTCTCTTCTCTATATTCGTTAAACAAAACAGTCTACTTAAAAGTATTATTTTATCCTTTCAATATTATGATTACCTTATATGTATTTATGAAAAAATAAAAAGAATGAATTTTGTTTTTTTCTTGAAGACTATATTCCATATATCAACTTATAATTATTGTAAAAAGAAACGGACATACACATAGCTATAAATAACAAAAACACAAACTAAGAAAGTGACAGAAAAAATAACTATAATGTTTTATGAATTTGTTCATTAGAATGAAAAAATAATTTAACATTAAATTAATCTTTTTTAACTTTCGCATAAAGTTTTGGTGTATCAACTAAACCTTTTCCCATAAATAGTGTAACTACTAATGCTGTTATTGTTGCTGCACCCCAAAATAAAATATATGTCAGTTGTTCACCAAATGACGTAGCAGGAATAAATAAATTAACAATACACATTGATAAAGCAAGAAACATTGTAATAGGTAATGCTAATAATTTTTTACTAGTTTCTTTACTTATTGGACATGTTTCTGGTGTATTTCCTTCATTTGATGATATACGATAATTACCCAAAAACAGATCAATACCATCCTTTTTTCATAAATAAATAAATAAAAAATAAGAACCGAGTGTTTATTTTACCTGTCGAAAACCATCGTAAAAATTATTGAAAACATAACGCATAAGTGAATTATAACCATCTTTGAGTAGACCCATTGTTGATCGTTGACCTGTTCTAAATATGCACAAGAAAAAAAACGAAAATTAAATTTCGTATATTTATTATTTTAAATAAACCTAGTAAAATCTGTTTTTAATGCACCAGTTCCAGAATATTGAATACTAATAAAATCGGCATTATCAGCCCAAACTAAAAATCATTAAAAAAATCATTTAAAAATACAATCGAATTTAAAATTACGTACTATTTTTAAATAGACTACTAAATTCAGCATATGCATCAATTTTTTCTCCATATTTAATGATATTATAATGTTGTAATTGTTTTTCTAAAATTCTTTTAGCAAATAAATTTTGAACAACATTTGTTCGATCAAGACAATCAATACAATTTGTACGAAATACACCAGTTTGTTGACATTGTAAAACACCATTTTTAGTTACAGCAAAATAACTAAATGAAAAATTAATAGAGATGTAAAAAATTTTCTTTTTTTGTTTCTTCAATACCCATAATCATCTTGATCAGCTATAGTACGAGCTAATAATATTGTTAAACGATCATACCGCATACCAGCACATTCTTTATGAAAATCGAAATCCTCAAATCTAATTTAATTAATAAAACTATTTTTCAAATTTAAAAATAAAATTTTTACTTTAGATAAACTTTTTCACTTCCTTCATATAATTCACGATATTTTGAATTTAATTTGCCTTCGGCTCCATGATGATTTGTCTAAATAATCAAGAAATATATTATTGGATTGAGTTATTTGTTAAATTATCTTACAAGACTAATAAGAAATTGTTTACCATAATAACTTTCTTGTTCTTCAAAATGTTGTCGAAATGCAGTCATCTTTAATTTATTCATAGGAGATTATTTTAATTATACAAAAAACATTTCTTACATGATTATTCGATGGCAAAACAATTACTTTTGGTTTATATCGAAGATTAGGTAATTGTGACCAATAACAAGGTATTGATCCACGTATCTAATAAAAGAAATTATTAAAATGACAGGATCAAAACTTGATCTATCGTATGTATATATATATTTACTTGAACATAAGAACAAAGAACATCATCCATTTGAAGAATTTGTTCAGTTTCAACATAATTTGCAACCTGACCATCATCATTAATACCACGAATAAATAATCTTAATAAAAACAAAAATCTTGTATTCGTTATAGACTAAATATGAAATTCATACCTTGTACCTGCTCGATGAGTACTTCTTCGTGAAATTACCCCATAAGTAAATGAATGTCCATTAATATTCAATTTATTAATTGCAATAACTATATTAAAAAAAATAAAAGTTTTTTTTTTATTTATTTCGTATTAATTTACATCCATGTATAATTGGTAGAATAAATTGAGCAGTTATTTTATTATTAGAAAATCCTTTAAGCAGATAATGATTCCAAACAAAACGTTGATCAGCACGTTCAATAATTGATTGAGATTTAAAATTTGATGGTGATGTTTGAAGACGTTGAAATGTATGTGTTAGATCATATGTATAAGAGAAATAAAATGCTTCTGTATGTAGAACTATTTCAATCATTGATAAATATTTTGTATTATATTTTATCTAATAAAATAAAATAAGAGAATAGTTGTTTTTATAATACAAAATATTTTTTGTCATACTTGATGTTCAGTTAAATGTGACATAGAACGTACATATGGTATAACATCAGTTGTTCCAACTTTATAAATTCTATGTCCATTAATATTACCTATATGTATCTTAGATGTTATGACAATTAAATATGAACCAGAAATTAAATGAATTGTTCCAATAATCCCATGAATAGATCGTTGTTCGGATCCATCAACTTTTGGTAATGTATCTGATAGGAAATAGAAAATAAATATATATTCGAGTGTCAAAATATAGTTTTTACTATGAAGTCGTATGTCTTCACTTGTTCGATCAATTGAAAGGAATTCTTTTGCATTGCGTATGTTAGGTTGAACAACAAAAAAATCAGATAATATATGACTAGAAAAGGCAAGAGAAGAATATGAAGAAATATGTCATGAATTTCATTTCAAATTACAGTGTAAAAGTATCCATAATATTTTGCTGTTGTTCATTATTTGCAGCAATCCATGACGAAACTGATGTATCGGTTGTTGTTGACATAGTTAGTGTTTTACTTGAAAAAAATATATAAATAAAATGATAATAATAATAAAAATAATAGAATGCGTAGACAATTACGATGATAAACAAATAATGGATAGGAAAGATTTAACAACGAATAGAATCTAAACCTTAGCTGATTGTTAAGGAAAGTTTTTATACATAAACTTGCGCCATCTTCAGTAAATGGCATGTGAATAACAGAATCATCAAATCTGATTTTTAACGATAGTTTTTCATTGAAATACATTCATCTACATCAAATTCAGTTTTGATTAATACCGCGTTTATATTAAGTGGTCTAATCATTTGAAAAAAAAAGATTTGTTTAAATATAACTCATGAATTCCGGATTTTTTCTCCTATTATTATTTTTGAATGATAACAGTTTGATAATTAAATATTTTTCAAGTTCATTTTCTACTTCTTAATATCTCCATGAGAAACTGATAATTTTTCAATAGTTAAAAGAAACTATAATAATTTTATTCGATAATAGGGTTAGATAATCGTATGGTTGTATTCGAATGTTATAATAATTTATTGTATCGTCAATTTAACTTACGAAAATTAGTTGACCAAAATGCTCATCTTGGTCAAAGGCATATAAGTAGATGATGCAACCGTGAACACAACTCGTATATGCAATAGAACGAAAGATAAAACTCATTCTTCTCCTAGGTATATCGGCTACACAAGGTCATTAAAATTTATCGAAAAAAAAAGAAAGAGAATAATTATTTTTCATTTACCTTTTTTTTGTTATACATAAATGAAAACTATGCTCAAAGAATCTCAACGATCAAATTCAACAAGTCTAAGCATCGTAGCTAATCAATCAAATTATATATCTCAATGGTGGAATCAACGATTTGCTCATCAAAAACGTCTCGAAATATCTCTTGAACATGTTCTTTTTCATCTAGTTATTACCTTACTAGTCATTATTCAATGTACGACTATTATAATTGAAATTCTCTTTTATAATATTAAACATCAATATGAATGTAATGTACCACCATATTCTTCCAATGATTATATATATAAAAAGACTTATCATCTTCAATATGGTCTTGAAATATGTCATTATACATCCTTATGTATTTTATCATTCTTTATATTTGAATTAATTTTAAAAATCTATGCACTTGGTTTTCATTATTGGAGTTCGAAAGAAAATCATATATTAGATTATTTCGATGCGTTTCTCATTATTTTTTCATTTGCAGTAGAAATTTATTTTTGTATTGTTGATAAAGAATCAATTATTGTACATTCAACTATTCTTATTATCGTACTTCGTCTATGGCATTTATTAAGAATTACTAATGGTTAGTAAAATTTAATGATTATTATTCTAAATTAAAATTTTTATATTTTAGTTATTATTCGTTATTTTCAAAAAGGTCAAGAATTTAAAACAATTCGTCAACGACGTCATTCGGAAAGATATGCTGAAGCTATTTTATTAATTCCATCAAGTATTCAAATAATCCTTGATTTAATGCAAGAAAAAACTGAATATTTACGATATGATATTTGTATTGAACAATCTTTAATTACTCGTTTTGAAAATATTGATAGAAAATGTCAAGATGCTTTCGATAATTATTATGGTAATGAAATGAAACTCGTATCGGAAATACAAAAACTTCATCTTATTCCTAGAAGAAGAAAATATAAAAAAAATCATTCAGTTGCTGTTTAAATAAATTCATTCATTTATTTATTTAGTTGTTATAATAAAATTAGAATTATTTTATTGAAAAAACGAAACAGTTTTTATATTTATTGATTATTTAAAAATGTTGTATTTACACGAATATTAGGATTTAAATTTGAATTGGGAATGATTTGAAGTGGAGCAATTCGATGAATTGGATTTATTTTGTTGAATAATCGAATAAGTTCTTGTCTATAAACTTTCGCGGATAGAATATATGAGAAAAAAGGTACTGTAAATGAAAGATAAAATGGTAATTTACAGATAATAGTAATGTAATAAAATTGAAGTGTAAATCGAAATGAAACTGGTAAAATTAACATGAAAAAAACTACACAAAACGGTAAAGTAAGTATAGTATGAATACCTACTTGAAGTAAAAGCATTCGAGAAAGTTGTCTTTCAGTTCGACGAAAATGTGTTATTCGATTGGAGATAATACGTGCTTGATTTGTATTTTTAATAGTTAAAAGGCCAAAAATAATCATACAGATAGGTGCCATTATTACATATAAAACAATGTCCATAGTTAGGAAAATTTGGCTGAATAATGAATTTGAAATTATAATACATTGTGGTATTCCATCTTGCACTATATCAAATGCTATGAAAGATCCAGCAAATAAAAATGCAAGTACAGAAATGAGAAATCCAATAACTTGTCGTGCTTTTCGAATATCACTGAATCGTCGTAATCGAACATAGATCGAACTAGCTGTATATCGATCAATCGATGCAAGTACAATTAAATAGACCGATATATTAGGACATAGATTAAGTAGATAACTGGAAAGTTTACAAAAGAAATTTGATTGTAAACTCAAATTAAGTTGATATCCATCAGCTAGTAGATTGTTAAGAAGAATCATAGTAGAATAGAAGAGATTAACAAAAGCCATAGAAAGAAAATAAAGAGAACATGCGTGACGATTTAATGTTGATCTTGATAATATAATGATATTTAACAAATTATTCACCGTACCAATTGTCATAATTATTGGAATCGTAACTCGTGTTGCTTGAATAGCAAAATTTATTAGAGCGTCTGTCATTACTTCCTTTTCTCTTCCAAGTTAGAAATGAAATACAAATGCTTTGACTTTGTTGGCAAACTTAATAGAAAACATTATATAGGTCGAAAAATTCTATATTAATTATTTAAAATACAAGAAAAAAATAAAATGATTTGAATGGATCTCTTGTTCTTTTTATCCTACATATTTTATATAGTTTAAAAATAGTATGTATTTTGTCACCTGATAAACATATAATAATTATCAATTATTATGATAGTCTGTTGATCATAGGACGTTTTGAACTTAGACTGTTGGGTACATGACTTTTGTCTACATAAACGAATAATTATCACTAATCAGCAGTGTTTTCTACAGAATGCTCTCAACAAAAAATAGAAACGGAAATGTGACTGTCATCAGTTTAATGATGTATTATGATTCTCAGTTACAAAACTATGATCTCGAATTTTGTAAGCACATGATCGAGCGTGTGTCTGGATTTAGAAAACTTTCTATGATTAATAACGGTCAAACAAAATACTATCATTTAAATCGATGAGAATGATCAAAATTTCTTTTGTTTTGTATTAATGAATAATATTTCTGATATGACGTAAGTTCTATACATCCTTTGTTTTTGTCTATTTAACATGCCGAGGCTTATGTTAGCATATTTTATTCAAAACAAGTTCCCATCATGACAGCATTCATCACTATGATTTATTTGTGTGAATGTAAATAATTAACTTGGAAAGATAACTGTACACAGATATTTTAAAAAATCTTTACTTTTGATAATATTTCAATTACAAATGTTTGATTCAAATCACGTCAATTGTTATATATAAATCTTGCTTAGTTTTTGATTCATATTATCAGCTATGGATTACAAAGTTCATATTAGTATATTATTTTATATAAGAATAATTTATGTAGATGTCAGACATTCTTTTTGAAAAGTAGAGCATTCGATATAATACTATATCACCTCTTGTTATTCAATATGATAGTCTATTTGAAAAACATGATTAATGCATCGTATTATATCTAACACATCTTTAAAACAGGTTGTTACAAAAGAAAGTTTAAATATAACGTTAAGAATTTAAAGATGACTATTTAATGTTATTTAATTCTATACATTTTATAGAAATATGTATTATTTATCGCTCTTTACTTGAAAATCTTTTTTATAAATAGACTTCAATCATAATATATTCTTTACATGACTTCATATTTATCAGCATATCTTTTGAAAGATATATAGAAGAATACATAGTTGAATATAAATTTTCTTCCTTTTAGGATAAGATGACATTCATAATACAAAAGATAAAGAACATTTTAATCTATTTTGAGATTTAACAAAAGAATTTTTGAATGCATAGAGCAATTAATGATGCTGAATTAGAACAATAATTATTAGTAAATTATTCTTGTTAATGTAATGACAATTTATAGATGTGTTCTCTATAAAATATTCTCAACCCATACATATGAACTAAAAATTCGTAGTGTAAAAATAAATTTCAATTGCACATAAAAACTGATATATCCTATAGATTTAATGGAAAGGTCTATCACTTTCCCATACTGAAGTAAACTATTCATGTAGTTTATTAGCATGTCAACATACTTGATATTTAAGTAATCACTGCTCTTCAAACTTTTTTTATGTCAATCTCTTTATACAACTAATCTATATGTCAGCGATAACACAAAAATATTGACATAATAAATTTGACATCACTTTAACAATCATAAATACTACTACACTAGCATCGAAATGTTAAAGAATCGGTATTCTCTTACAATTGCCCTTCTGTACTTGGTGACTTGTTTAATATTATAAAAAAAACAATATTGTATATTCAATATGTTGTACATTGAACTATATACCATAAGTAATGAATAGTAGAGTGATGCATCAATTATATACATGCCTTGATCTTTTTCCTGAATTATCTACAAGTTAAAATAGACTATATTTATATATCGAATTATATGAATCAGTCAAAATGTCATTGTTTTTTATTATCATTATTAGAATCAATATTAAACATTACATTCGAAACACACAATAAATATAAAAATATCATGAAGATGAATAGAGTAAAATTAATACATATGGACGGTATCATTATCATCAAGTTATACTCATTGTCCGTTGAATTTTTTTACAAGATCTTTTACTGATTGTAGTACCGATTCCTGATTGTAACTTATAGGACGGATAGGACTCGAAACTGGAACTTGTTTTTGAGTTATTATTTTTTCTACTGGTTGTTCTATTTTTACAAATGTTGCATAATTATCATTTATTGAAGTTTGATCTTCTAAATTTTCATAAATTGAATCTATTGGCTTATTTTCTTGTTCTTGAATTTGTCTATTTATTGAAATATTAGGAACTATATTAGATGATTGCTTATTTATACTCGCATAAATGTCATCCAGAATCGGTTCCTAGAGAAGATAATAAATGAAATAATATAAAAGAATATTTTTCTGATACTTTTTGTAGAAAATTTGCTGGTATCCATGTTAGAACATGATCACTTTTCATTCGTCTTCCAAACCACCATCCACTTGAATGCTTACTATGTATTTCAATAAGATCACCTCGTTTAAATGATAAATGATCTCCAGTATTATCTATAAAATCACTATGAATATAATATAATTCTGGATTAGTACTATTTGATAATTCTGTATGATATTCATTATCATCATCATCGTCATCATCCTGTATAAAAATAAATAGCTAATGAATGTATTTAGTTTTTATCATACCCAATCGGAATCATATAAATCATGCGACATACCATCTATCAATATTGAAAAATTTAGATATATATATCTTTTTAAACTAGAAAATTTACTTATGATGATTTCGGGAGTATGTTGTCCTTCCCACGATGATAAATATATTGCCGGAAAATGGCCAGTCATACCATTAAATCTATAATACATAAACCCGTTTCAATTTTTGATAATAAATTTAAAAACAAACTCTTACTTAACTGTCCACCATCCACTAAATGATTTCTCAATCACTGTTACAAATGAACCTTGATCTAATGTTAGCTCATCTTGACCTTGTCCTTCATATTTATTATTCACAACATATATTTCGTCTACATAACAAGAATACAAACATGCACTTGAATACTCGTTCTTTTTTTTTATTTCTTACTAAGTGTTTTTTCAATAACCTTTTCTTCACGAGCACCTTGTTGTAATTCAGATGGTTGTAAATAAGTACCTGGTACAAAACCTGTTTGATCACCATTTTGAACAAACCACCAACCTAAAATATATATTTTGAAACAAATTCTTTTTTTTGTAATATTTATATCTATAAAATAAACCATTTTCATGTTTTTGAAGTACTTGAACAATATTATTTCGTTTCAGTGACATTTCAAGTTTATCTGTAGCAGTAAAATCATCTAAACATCGATAAGTTTCTAGTTTTGCTGGTCCACTTATAGCTAATGATGATTTTCTTATGATTTTTTTTTCATGTACAATAGATTCAATTGGTTGTTGTACATCAGTTGATAATGGATGAAAAAACTCAAGTATTGGACAAGATCGAGATATATGTTGAGGTAATGAAATTAAAGTCTGCATAATTAAATTAAAATATATAAATTTCAAAAGAAATCATGGACAAATACTTGGCAATATTCATCAAGCATTTGTTTTCGTTCTAAAGCAATTTGACGTATTTGACTGCGACCAAGAATAATTTTACCAGGAAGAAATGGAATTTGATGTAATTGCTTATCACTATTCGATTGCATGGGTGTTTCAGCAAAGAAATCAAGTAATTTACACTAAAAACTATCGATTAAGATCTTATTCATATGTAATAAAAATTACTTGAAGATCAAAAAATTGTGCATAACGTCGATAGATAATAAATAGATTTGAAGGATTTGACCAAGTCACTTGTATAACATAGACCTGAATGAATAAAAGTCTTTTCTTATTATATTTTTATTTAAATATACATAATGTTTTGGTCCTGGTTTATATCGTTTTTCAACGTCAAGTATTTTAACATTTCCGACATATCCGATCTTAGATGAAGATTCTTTATTTGTCATCTAAAATAAAATTTCAAAACTATTTATAACACATAAGTGCATCAACAATGTAACATTTAACTACTCATCAGGAAATGTTATCATAAAAACAAACTTGTTAAGTATATAGTTTATTTCTCATTTGTTCTTTAGTGGTATCATATATTAATAAAATTCTATTTGGATTGTGTTATTATTTGCAACAGAAATATATTCATGTAAATGAATATCTTGTGATTCATTTCGTATGTTTTGTTTTGTTTTGTTTATCCAGTGAGAGATAAGAACTACTCATATTATTCTGACATCTTTTCATTTATATTCTGTTTTTATTAAAATCTAGTATTCACTTGAAATGACCTTTCATAGATTATATGATTTGTTGAAAAAAAAATCTTTGCAAACAGATTAGCTTTATGAATCAATGAATTCCATTAAATCTTCTTAGAATATATAATTAAGTTTTACATTAATAAGCAAGATTTGAATAGAAACTATCTCATATTACAGTTGATTAATATACATGTCAATGTTTTAATCTTAAATCGTATGAAAATATTCTATGAATGAATCTGTTTTGCAAAACAAAAGCTGGATATAAAGTATGTTAATATTTACTTTTTTTTGTTTGTCACTAAATTTTCAAAGAATTCAACAAAAGAAATTTATTCAATATGTTGTAGTGTATAAGAAAATATGAAGAAAGGAATTTCAAATAAAATGTATATTTTTTTCATAAAACTTTCATCTTGTTATTTCGTTTTAGAATCAGAGATTTGAAATAACTATTAAACCTACCTGATTTCATGTCGTTTGAGTGTTTTTTATTCGAGTCGAGAGAAAAAAAAGAGGCCGGCTCAAATACCGAACACAAAAAAAAGAGAGAGAACAGATCAGAGTAGAAAGAAAAGAAATAGAACACAGTGCGGACAAGCCGCATTACACTGAAACGAGAGATTTTGATTGAGGATGAGAAATAGGAACAAAGGGACAAAAAGACAAAAGAAAAAGAAAAAGAAAAAAAAGAAAGAAAGAAGATTTTTCATCGATCTTAGGATGTGGCTGGTGTCACCGTCATTTGGAATTCACCATTACCACCACTGCCACTATTAGCAGTTGATTTTTCTGCAGTTGTTGCTGTTTCTGTGGTTGTTGTTGTTGTTGTTATCCGAGAAGTGGATGATGTCGACTGAGAAGAAGATAAAGATGAGGGAATGAGCTGATCACCGGCTGATTTCGCATTTATTATTGTCGAATTACTTAAAGTTGACGTAAGAACATCAGACGACATAGGAGATGGAGACGAAGATGTTGATGTTACAGGCTGTATTGAATCTTGATGCTGAGATGATGAAATATTCGTATTAGTAGGAGAACTTGATAAATTTCCGGTCCCTGGCGTTGATGATGGAGATGAAAGACGAGCTTGATACCAATCGCGATTTTGTTCTAGTGTTTCCAAAATAGCACTTGCATCTGGATATACCAAATCAGCCCATGTTTCCCATAATGGATGTACAATAAATTCAATAAAACCAACCTAAAATAACAATTTTATAGAATAAATATTCTTTAAAAATGAAACAAAAACGTTTTTGTTTTGTTATTTTGACAAACCTGATGTTTTTCTACACTAGCTACACGTCTATCACACATCGGAGAAACTTCTAAACCAAGATCACGTTCTTTATCACCTTGTCTCCAAAATTCTTCCATTATCCGATCAGTCCATTTAATATAAATATCTAATGGTTTTGTCGGATTCGATAAATCAGCACAATGAATCATATTTTGAAGCACCTGAATTCTATCATCATATGATTCAAGCATAATTATATTATTTCCAGTGACTTTTTTTGATTCAACCATTGTTTTTAAATCAGCTAATAATTGCATATGTTTAGACATATCGGTTGCTAAAACCATATCAATAACCATTTTACGTAATGTCTTTATTTGTTTAGCTGTCAAATGTGCAAATATATTTCTTTCATTAGCTTGTAATAATTTAAATGCAACGGCTAGATGATGATTTTCAAGTACACTCTCATCATTATACATTATCGCTAGATCACTTTCTAAAAAATAAAATAAAATAAAATATGTATATTTATAAATATCAAGTGTTTTATTGCTATTCTCTCTTGAAGAGGAAAAATCTTCAGTCATATATTATTGTTTTTTCTTCTTCTTCTTCTCTAGACAAATAATAGTTTCAAGTTCTTACTAGTATTAATTAAAAATTGATTTGTTACACCGGGATGATCGACATCATGTACTGCCGATGCGAATATCGCCGACATGACTTCCAATTCGGTAAACACGCCCTTTATTAGAATTTGAAATATATATATATATAATTAGATTCATTTCATTTTATTTTTCGCTTACATCGAGTGCCGAAGCATTGAGCAAAACATGCATTGACTGACAAACATCAGCTCCATGAGCCTTATTATGATATGGTACTTGTTGATAATGATCTTCAAGTGTGAGCAAATAAGAAATTAATGTATGAGGTTCAATCGCATATGTGTTTAGTAGCTGACGCTCTTGAAATATTTTATATGTTATTGCTGTTAATGGTCGTTGTCCACTTAAATCCTCAATACGAAATGTATCTAAACCCCAATCATTAACACGTTCAAGTAATGAACGTAATTCTTCAGTATGTGGTGTATCAACACCTAATTCTGGTATTGGAGTTTTTGTTGTTAATGCTGTGGTTGTAATTTGTATACCACTGATATGTCCCATCACTGTTGGTGAGGCCATTGATGTATCAATAGGTTTTGATGATAATACTGTATTTGGTTCATCGTATGGAAGACCACGTGAAGATGATATTGTTTGAGATAAATCAACATCGGGTTCTTTTTTGTCTATAAAAGAAAATAATAATCTCAAATTTCTGTTGTTTTTGTTTCTTTGATGAATTATTTATTTACCTGTATAGGTTGAATATAAATAATCACTAATTTGTGCGCCGGATTTATTATTTTCAGCGAAATGAGATAATTCTTTATTGAGCATACGCTTAAACTAAATGGAAAAAAAGAAGAATCTAAGTATTTGTATATTTATATTTCTTTCTTTTCTACTTTGAGTGAAGCTAAATCAGAAACAGATTTATGTGTTTGCATTGTTTCTAATTGTTCTAAACACCAGTCAAGTTCCTCTAATGTAGATATTGCTTGTAATAATGAAGTATCATCTAGCAAAAAGAAGAATTTTAATCTATGAACTATTCTTTAAGAAAACAATTACCTGATGTTGTCGTTGTCACTTTATTAAGAATGGGTGAAGCAGCTTGATTATAACCAAGTTGACTTGATCTTTTCGCCCTTGAATAGAATACATTAAAAAAACTATTCTATAGAATTATAAACTTTATTATTTACCTATCTGGAGGTATGTGGGTAAGATCGACAAAGTTTTTCCGTACATTTTTAAGACTGGCAAGTAACTGAGCAAATGGAGTGACAATCATGTCATCCTGGTGCCTGTAACATAATAATAATAATAATAATAATAGTAATAATAATAATAAAATACTAATAAAAGACATGTCTCATTACAAGAAGTTGATCTTCTTCTCTAATTGCTTTCCTTTCTTTTTCCCTTAACAAGACTAAGTCGATCACGCACTGAATATATATATTTGTATATATATATATATATATATATTTATATATATATTTACACATACAATATATACAAGTATAGACTAATAACCTACCACCCAATATTATACATATTTGATGTACTCTGTGCTCGATCATTGTCATACTTAGTATTTCCACCATCTGGTAAAGCATCTTGAACAGTAACTGAACGACAAATTTTCATACGTTGTTTGGGTAAAAAACTGCTTGCACTACTACGCATTTTATTTTCTATTTTTTTGGAATATAAAATGTGCGCAGAGCGATAAATTCAAATGCGTACAATCAAACAGATGAAATGTAATCAAATAATAAGAAACGACTACAACAGTACTAGTGTTAGATCTTCATAAAAAAGCAAAGATCATACACGCCATCATTCTACTTAGAATGAGCGTTGTCATTTTTTTTTCTTTTTCTGTTGAGCAAAGAAGTGGAATAAGAGAACAAGAGCTCGGATAAGTCGACAACAAGATTGAGAAAAAGAAAATCTAAGAGCAGAAAAAAAGAAGATGAAGAAGAAGAAGCGACAACAGGCGGATGAATTTTTCTTCTTATTAAAAGAAAAGCAGGTTTCATTTTTATCTAACTATTATTTCTGTGAATACACATCCTAACAACTAGTTCTACGCCTTATTTGTATTATAGGAGAGAAAAAAGAACTAAAAAAATGACACATACATGAATATATAGGTAGAGATCTTTTCATCATTCTGTCTATCTCAGTCGATAGAGCATGAGACTTTTAATCTCAATATTGTGTATTCGAGCTTCATGTTAGGCGTTTGTTTTTTCAATAATTTTTTTTTTTACCTTTTGTTATTCAGATACGCATTAATAACAGTCTTTATTTTACTATTCTTCTGCCACTTTAGTTGTGACTCTCGTCAAGGGTTTTGTTTTTCTTTCGCTTCTGTCTCCAGATGTCCATTTCTTTCTATCATACTCGTTTCTTAACATTCTTTTTCGGCTTTCTTTTATTTTTTTTTCTTCTTTTTTGTTTTTTTTTAAAAGATTATAACAAATCATGTTGTGCTTGTGTGTGTGTGTGTGTGTGTGTGTGTGTACATGTCTTTGGTTTAATAGATTGCAAACAGTCTGATTTCTACGACGCATATATGTATCCAAAAATAAAAGAAGAAAACATGTAAATGAATAATGACTTCGATAACAAGACAAAAAAAAAGAAAATTTCATATAAAATACTTCTTTTTTTTTAAAAAAAAAGTAATAAAAATGTCGCCTTTCCTTTTTTTTCTGTCTTCTTATTTTTATTATTATTATTCTTATGTCAACGGACAAATAAAGTGATAAAAGGATAATCTCAAGAGAAATAGTGATTCGATAAGTAAGAAAAAAAGAAAAACTAGGATAAAGAAATAATACCTTTTCAACCAGGAAACATAGGATGTGCGTTGACGATCAAAAGCAAGTTCATTTTGACTAGGTAAATAAGTTGCTAATGTAACTAAACGTCGACGGGTGTCAGACGTTGTATTACTTCGTGGTCGCATATTAGTATATGCTATCTGATGTTTCTATTGTGATTACTAGTCTATTCTGTATACTTATTTGTTTGCTTCTTTGTTGTTACTGGTTGGTGTGGATGAATTGAGTGGGAGGGAGGACAGGGGAGACAACGATGAAGAGTGAATAGGGTGGAGAGCGAGCGTGAGATGGGAACACAAGATAAGAAACAAATGTGTGCGTGGCGTAGTTCTGTCAAAAACGCAAATGAAACAAACTCTAATTTCAATGCAAGAACATAACTATGGTACCGAATGTGTAATGAAAAAAAACAGGGAAGCTATAAAAAAAAAATTTGAATAAAAATATAGAAAAAAAAAGTCGAAGATAGATTATGCATAGGTTTACTATTCATATTATATGTAAACGAGAGTAACAAAAGGAGGAGAAAAAAAATACGATAAATATTAAACAGTTTAAATTACATAAATATGTAAATTAACCTTACTTGGTAGATAATTTTGAACCGAGTCTAAGAATTGGTTTTTTAATGGCGCTCTTGACACGCTCCATGCTACTTGTTCTCTTTTTTTTATTGATCACTCACTCACATTCACACTCACACTCACTCACTCACTCTCTCATTCATCGATAACGCGGCATATGTTCGGTTCGGAGTGGGTAGCCGACAGAGAGTCAGACATATAAACGCGTGCCCCACCACTACCAGGGGTATAGTTGGCAACGAGAGAGAAAGACGAAAGAACGATCGCGAAAAGAAAAAGAAAAAGAGAGAAAACAAAAATGAGGGCGCAGAAGAAAGGAAGACGATACTCTTTCTTCTTTTTTTTTTCTTTTTTTCTTTCTTCCTTTATTTATCGATTCAAAATATCCTAACTACTTACAATTCAGATCCAATGGACGGATTGCGCGAAATACATTTCGGTGAAAGATCATTGTCACTGTCACATTTATACAAAAATGATTCGCGTCGATGCATTCCACTACTATTAGTTGTGTTGCTTGCTGTTTTATTAGCTGTACCATGTTGTTGATTAAGTGCTGATGTTGGTGATACATTATGATGAGAATTGAGAGCACCACGTGGTGACGATGATGAACCATCCACATCAAAACTAAAAATATATAAAAAACAAAAATTAATTTAGTTCTCTTTTTTGTTGTTGTTGTCATATAAATCATTTTACAGGAAAATGATTTCATGTCTTCTCACTCACATTACTCAACTGCTTTTTGAACAGTCTTTTTGTTCAAATGTTAATAAGATAGTTAATGTTCATCCCTCTAGAGATAAATATATATTCATCGACATGTACGTATATATTTGCAAGTGTCACTCTGCAACTTGATTAATAAACGAATCACTGAGAATAGAAGAAGACATTAACGATACACGACGATTGAAGAACCAAACAAAAAAAAAAAGGAAGGACAAGAGCAAGCAAAAAAAGGAATATATATATATATATATATATATATGTATGTTAAGTCACGCTTCATTTGTCGTTTTCTTTTTTTCAAATATCTAGATGACCGAACAAACTTGTTGGTAATTTTATAACTGTATTTTTTATTTTCTCTATATTCATCTTGAATTATTATATAAAGTGATTTATTGTGACAGATCTGATTAAATAGAATCGCTTCATAGTTAATCTTATGTTTAATTTCCGTTTTCATCATTTTGTTATCTTATGTGAGTAAATAAACTTTTCTGCAACTTATTTATTTATTTTTTTGTAAGATGAATCTTTTTTTTTCTCTCCTTAATGTCAATTCTATGTTATAAGATAATTATAACGAGAAATTTCTTCAAAAGATATTTTTATCTGATCATCAAAGTAAAATCTATCAGATTTTATTCGTTTTCTTTCAAAGAAATCAGACATAGATTAGTGAACATATTACTTTTTATGGGAAAGGAAAAAAATATATATATCAAATTTCTTTCAAATATATATATTTTCATGTTATAGACAAATTGATCGTCTTAATAGAGAGAAATCTCCAAAGGAAATGAGAAAACCTTCATACTAACGAAATTTATTTCCTTTAGGGAAATTTTTCTTTTTTCTTCTTTTTTATCACTGTATATATATTCATCATATTAGTAACAAATATTGTTGTTTTCCAATAATTAATCTAATAATGAATAAACTCATGCATGAAACAAAAAAAAAAGCCTTAAAAGCACATTTTTATTTCTTACTTGCTATCCATCTGATAGATTCTTAGACTTCGTTGTAAACGAGGTCTTAAATCGTACGAGGAACTTCTGGTATTATTCTTCATTAATAAACGATTTTATATGTAGAAAATTTTGACCAAATTAAATGTACGTATAAATCGATTTGTGACAGGTGTATGTATATGGTTTTTATCAAAATGATTTTCTTTAATGATGCATTTTTCTGTTTTACAACCAGACAAATAACAAAAAAAGCCGATGTTTTAAAACGTTAAAAAAAAACATTTTCTTATCTTTCATTAAAACAAGTTATAAAGCATTAAGCTTCACCAGCTTGCTTTTATTTCGATACAAAAAAACAAAGTTTTTTTTTAACGTGTTAAAATATGCACTGTTTGCGCATATAAATCTTGGAGTCTTTTTTCGTTATTTATCAGTATGGGGATTATTCTATTCTGTTTTGACACTTACTATGGAGACTAACTAGCTACATTAAGCAAAAAATCAATAAAAAATCGACTCTTTATAGGATTTATATGGATAGATTAGAGAGCCATTCTGATAACGAGATCCTACACAAACTATGCGATTGGTTATATATCAAAATCAATGTCAGTAAAATATTTTGTATATATGTACAAACATATATTTAGACAAAGATCAACAACTACTAGCTAGTAACCATACTGTTTTATACGACAGGAAGTCATCGATCATTTTGATAGCACGTCAAACAAATATTGACATAAAGAAAAACTTTACTAAAGAAAGAGAAGAACCGACCTTATTCCATCATCAATTTCTCCTCCTTTGCTATGAACTGAGTGGCGAAGACTACGACGAAATGTAAATCGCCGACGTAAACGTGGTGCTGGTTCCAATGACGGATTAGATGAATCCGTTGATTGTTGATGTTGTTGTTGCTGCTGCTGTTCTTGTTGTTGTTGTTGTGGCTGGTGTCCTGGTGATTGTGGACTTGATAGATGTGTTGATGATGATGTATCACTAAATCGTTCAAAAAATGTTTTATTTCGTTTTGATGATTTTCGACTTGGTAGTTGTGTTCGTAGTGGTAATATGGGAGTTGGTAAAGTAATACGTGGCGGTGATGGTATTGGTATTGGTTTTGTTAATTTTTGAACAATTCGAATAGATGGAATTGTAGTAATGATTGTATTTGTTAATGCAGCAGCGGTTGGTGCCGATGATGAGGCAGGTAATGCGGGTGATGAAGCAAAGTATATAGTAAGTGTTGTCATCAGAGAAAGATAATGATGATGATAATAATACTAATGACGAAGTGAAGAGAATAAGCCCGGAAATCAGTGTAGACCGCCACTGTCGAGCAAATGAGAATAACAACAATAAATCGGGATTCTCTGGTTTTTCTTCTCCGCAGTCACCCGAACGAATGACAAAGAGTGTGAGAACGAGGGAGATAGTTAGAGCGACAAAGGGAGAGGGAGAGAGACAGCAGCAGAGGCAGAGACAGAGACAGAGACAGAGACAGAGACAGAGACATAGCGCATACAACGGTGCTGGTATTTTGGCGCTAAATGAAGGCGGTAACGGTCTTTCCGTTCGACTCGCCTGCACGCAAACAGTCAACAAATTGTGTAGCTAGCAGTAACTCTAACTATATTGTAGGGAGAAGAAGAAGGAGAAGAAGAACAGGAGAGAACGAAGAGAGACAAAACTTCACATTAACGAAAGCAATCTTCCTAATGGATTCTCTCGCTTCACGTCACTATGCATATAGAGCTACACTCACACATATACATAGCTTCAAGTTAACGAGTTCTTTCTTCGATCGAGCGAAAGGCAAGTGCTCGAATTAGAACGGCAGTAATTTGAGCAACAACGTTTATTCATTCATTCATTTATTTATTTATTTATTTATTCATTCGTTGACTGTTATATTAGACACAACACAAAAGAAGTCTTGTCTTCTTTTCTTTTTCTTCATTGAATTCTTATTCTCAATCTCATGTTGAAATATTTCTATCTAACGATTGTATGTAGTCTGTATATCCCTTGAGACATCTATATTTATATACATATATCTTTGCTTAGGGAATCTGAACAGGCAAAAAAACACTAATGGCAAATCTACTATATCATTTTTCTTAGCAACAAACTTCTTTATCATTCTTAACTTTTTTTTCTTCCTAGTCAATGTGTCTATATATCATCATCATAACATTAGGTGACAACTATCTTTAACTTCATAAGAAAAATCATTATTTATGACTATGATACGATTAAATAAATATAATCCGTTTTCTTTTTCTTGTTATAGATATAATCCATCTTTATAGGAATAAGATCATTTTTAAAAGTAATGTAAGTTTATAATGTATTTATTTCTTATAAAGAAAGAAAGAAAAGAAAAGAAAATAACAACAAATTTTCTAACTTAAAGAAAAATAGCTTTGTTCTTTTTCTTTCGGCTATAATCATATTTTTTAAAATAATTGTCAAACCATGTGCAGCTATATGCCACTTATGAATAGAGAAAAAAAATCGTTTCCGAGAACTCTTTACATGATTTGTTTTGAAAATAAGTATTTCTATCTACGAAATATCTATGTATATACGTATGTATATATATATATAAAAATCAATTATTTATAAATTTCTTCATTTGTCAAATATTGATAAATATCTTTTTGTTTTGTCATTCTAGAATTTCAATTAACATCCAATGTCAAAATAACATCAAACATGAGAAGCATGTACACATAAAGAAAAACATTAGTATAGTAAATGTATTCGTATGTATGTATGTCTATGCTATGTAGTATTTTTACCAAGAGAATTAATATTTTATGTTACTATCTGAACAAAGTTAAATACTTCTTATTCTTTTTTTTTTGGCATCTTTAATAATAAACAATTCTAGTTCTAGAAGAAGAAAAAATATACATATACACGTAGTAACAGACGTGAATGTGTATGTACATATGTTGATATGTGTCTGTTATCTTATCTAGAATGGCTGAACTTGTTTGCATGCAAATAGAAGAACACGAATAAAAAAAAGGAAGAATTAGTCGTTTTTTTTTGTTATTTTTTTCGTTAACAAAAAAATCTTAACATACACTATAAGAGTGTCACTCTTTTTTTTTGTTAAGATCTTTATTTCTTCCAGCATAATAAACGTTTTCGGTAAGGACACACGCGAGCTGTCAATTTTTTTTTCTGTTATTGTTACTGATGAAAAAAAGTCGATAGATGAAAAGAATTGTTATGTATCGTATAATGAAAAAAAAACGAAGAAATACTTGTTTGTAAGATTTCTTTTAACTGTCAATAGAAATAATAAATGTATGGGTGGGTAATAAGAGATAGAATTCATCTAAGCGTATGATATAACTTTTCAAGTATTGATGTAAAAAAAGAAGATTATAATGATCTTTTTATCACCAATAGCTATATTCTGTCAGATTTACCTGGTTTTGTTATTGGCTATAATATTCCTGTTATGATTAGTATTCGTAGCTATTCGTCGTCTTAATATAATTTGTCCAAGACGAATGAGCAAAGGTGGCGTTTGAGACGAAGGATTTGGGGAAGAATGAGCAGGGATTGGAGTAACATCATCAAGTTGTGAACTTCGTCGTCGACTATGATTTGATGAAACGCATGACGTACAAGTCGATGCCATTCCACCACGTCGACGATCTTTTTTCGTCGGGCTTATTGATTTTGTTATCGGTGCTGCTGCTGCTACTGATGTTGTTATTGATGTTACTGTCGTATTTGTCTTTGTCTTTTGATGATTTTGAATCAGGGTAGATGAAGGGGACTGTAATGGAATACTCGGTGTCGAACTTTTTCGATATACATGAACATCCGTAGGAGTTTGTTCGACAGATGGTATTTGAGATGAATGTTTTCTCGCACCACAACATCGAAATGGAAAGGAACGGGTTGTTGATGAGGAAACAGAGGTACGAGATTTTGGAAATGTTTTTGATGCGATTTTCTTATCTCGTTCGATAAGAAATGGTCGAATTGTAGCAGCTAAAAATTCCGACGATGATGACGATCGTGTGATCGAAATGACCGGCGGTGGGGGACTATTGGTGACACTCGTGATTGACTTCTATGTGAATGACGACGAGGACAACGACAACGATGAAGAACCGAGAATCGGCATACACGCGAGCAACGACGAGAACAACGTTGCTTGTTGTTGTCGAGCCACAAACACGCGGGCGGGCGCGTTTCTCTCTTTCTCTTACTCTCAGTCGCTATTGAAGCTACTGCATGTTGATGATGATGCGAGAATGGGAGAGCAATGACGATGTTCCTGGTGGCCGTGGCACCCAGCGCAACACTACTATAAAGCACGGGACAAAAAACAGAACGAGCGAACACGACAATGCAAACGAAAGAACGACCGCCCTCTTTTCCTCTATTTTCTTCTCTAGTTTCTTTCTTCTCTTTTTTTCTACCCTCCTTCTTTTCTCTACAGCATATGAATGAAGTGGCGGTGTTGGAAGCAAAAGAAGATGTGTGTATGTGTGTGCATGTGTGTATCGCGGTGAGGACAAACTAACGAACATCGACGACAATTTTTTGCGTTCTCGCTTGCATCTTACTACTGCAACAGTTCTCATCAATGCTGTTTTAACAGCAACAGCTATCGAACCGACAACGACAAGGCAAAGACAGCAATATATCAGTGACGTCGTCATCAGTTTGGCCATAGCAAGTCAGAATACCATACGAGCGAGCAAGCAAGCGAACTAGACAAGAAGAATCTTTTTGCTTCGCTTTTCTCAAGGCCATCGTTCTTTTCATAATACGACATAGAGACATACACACAAACGGGAGTGTCAATCAGTATTGTATATATGTATGGCGAAAACAAGTCGCGCTCTTCTGCTCTCTATCCATCAACACCAAAAGCAATAAGAAACAATGAAAAAGAAATAGAATATAGGGAAAAAGAAAAAAAAACGAAGAAATCAAAGATAGTATCATCACCTGGTATTCTAGAGCAAAATCGTATTTTTTTTTCTCTAACACGATGTGACAATCATTTGATTAACGTGTCGTGAATCGTTAGTTTTTTCAAACAAACAATAATTTTGAAATATGACTTATATGTATATATATATATATGTAATATAATTTTTAATCAAAGAAAGAAATAGTATTCGAACAAATGTTTCTCGAAAAGATAAAGTAGAGAGAATATTTGACGTTTCTGACAAATTATACTAGCAGACATACATTTTGTTGTAAACAAAAAATTTTCTCGAAGTATTTAAGTAGCAAAAACAAAATGAATGACATTATAAACAGAAAGAAAAAGGATTTCTTCGTTATTATTTAACACTACAAAATCAACATATGAAAAACATCATTATCGTTTTCATCAATTATTTTCCGTTCTATATGACATACGTTTTCAAAAGTACTTATTATAAATGTTTTGAACCTAAGCATATCAATAAAATATATGCATATAATTATTATACATCACATTTCGCGTGACTTCTAAAACGAAAATCAATATTTTCTTCTAATTAAAAATTTTATCTATGACGAAATCATTTTCAATGCAAATCTGTTAAATGTTGTTATCTTTAACTTTTTCATTATCATAACATATATCAACACAGAAGAGCTAGTATTTCCTTTTTTTGTTTTAGTTATTTCCATCAGCAATAAATCACGTCACATAAGATCATAAGAAAGTCTTTTTTTTCTCCATTGGCGACTGTTAATAAAAATAATATTATTCTTAATTACTTTCACATATATATATATTCAATGTCTATTTTATATAAATGGATATTAAATATGATTAATCTAATTATAGAAAAAAAAAATTGAATTTTTAACAACGTAATAAACATGTTTGTCATAGTTTTAATGACAGGTGTGATCTATCTATCTATTGCTCATATATGTAATTTATTTCTATTTTCAAGAAGCTTTTCAACAGTTGTTTGCAGTCATAGATACGAGATAAAAAATGTTAGAGAATGACTATTAAAGAAATAAACAGAATTTTTTTTTATAGCATACAAGATAAAAAAATCCTCGCTTATGGAAGAGCATTTCAATGCCCTCAAAAGTTCTTCTTTTTTTGTATTATTCTATGTCTGGTGAAGTTCACTTAATCATTTATGAGTAGAAAATATTTAACTACACATACTTCGTCATTTTTTTTTCCTCTTTTTTGTTTTTAATAATACTGACGAATGATAAAAAATTATCAGATGATAGACAGGTAATGTCAAAACTAATCAAGTAAGAAAAATAGTTCATTTTCAAAGGAAAAAAATTACTATTCGCAAGGAAGAGCTATATATCATTTGAAAATCTCTCTCGTTTTTTTTTTTCTTCTTCTTTTTTGCTAAATATAAAATTAATTTTATAAAACGAAATGAAAACTGCTCACTTAACACGTTTTCCACTTAATGCTGGTCCAATTGAATGACGTCGTTCAGTTAAAGGTAAAGCAAGAAAACGTCGATAAAAATCCATTGATAATACGTTAAGTTAAAAATTTATATGATTAAGAAAAAAAACAAAAATTAAATGTTCTTCTTTGAATCTTGAATATCATTACAAACATAAGTATGTATCTATATATATATAGATATGAATACTAAAAGCCAACGACGGAAGAAGCGCTGTAATGAGACACGAATCGGAGCACACATGCAAAAGGTAGTTATAGTCTATTTTTCTTTAACTTTGGTATTTACTATGTCTGTTCTATTCTCTCGCTCTCTCTCTCTCTCTGTTTTTTCTTTCTCTATTTTTCTCTTTATTTTCTTCTCTCATTTTAAACGTCAAACGCATGACGACACACTTGCCCGTTATATCTCATTAATATAAAAGAAGCTCACCTGTTTAGATAATCGGCATTGGTAGTAATAATTATAGATGATGTAGCAATATTAGTTTTCTGTGATCGATTTAATACAACATGTCCCCAAGAATGCCGACGTTCTGGATTAAAGGAAGGGACAATAAGATAATTACGTCTAGATATTGTCGTTGACGTAGGCATTTCTTGATCAATTTTACCATCTAATGACATGATGATTGATTCTTTTTTTGTTCTTTTTTTATACAGTCAAATTGAAACACGAAACGTTGAAGAATAATCAAACACGTATAGCTTCACACATACATACACACATACTGTTGTCTTTTCAAGACCAGCTGCATTTTTTTTTATGTCTTGTGAATACAAAATAGAATCGTTGTAGTATAGATCATTTTGTAAAGACTAGGCTGTTTGAGTAAAAAAGAGAACAAAAGCAGAGTCCGTTTCGTTAAAAAAGCGCGAAAACAGGCCCAGCAAGAGAGCGAGAAAGATAGAAAAGAAGAACAGCTTGTTCGTGGCGTTAGTCGAGCGAGCGGATGTTATTAATTTATATGGGCGAGGGACGGTCCTATACTAGTACTATTGTTATTCTGTTATGATATTGCTGTATATACGATGACAGTGTTATGTCATGAGAAAAAAAAATAGACAAGTGAAAGATGGTTTAAGACAAATTTTATCGCACCTGTCGGCAAACGTTGTATCACATGCCGATTATCTAAGTACTAGAACTAATTATTTGGTAATAAATATCCATATGAATCGAATAATATATATTTATATTTATAAAGAAAAAGAAAAGAAGCATAAGAAATCGATCTCTATCAAACGTATGAAGTGCAGTAATATAATTTTGTGAGCGAGTATTACTAGCATAAATCGTTCGTTGTCACAAGAAATATTGTATAATCAAATTTGTCTGCCAACACTTTTCTTGTATATCTATGAATATATAGATATACTGTGTTTACGTTTGTATCTGTGTGTGTGTGTGTGTGTGCGAGAGAGTATCTAATTCTTTTTTCTTCCTATTAATTTATCTTGTCATGACCTACTCTTTAGTCTTATTCTTGCACCATATGTGATTTTTGTTAGTCAAACAAGTGTGATCATTATCATGCATTACTTGTACATCATCTCCTAGGCAGTATGTCTGTCTATCATGATAAATTCTGATGACAGCATCTCTTACAAAGAAAATATACATAAGAAAACGAGAAAACCAGATAAATTAGTCCTTGTCAATTTCTTCTCTATTCATTCATACATATTATTCTTAATAATAACAAATAATTCCTTTTTTTTAATATCATGATCTTTTATCTTCAATAAATTCAAGACGGGTATTTATATTTATCTTTATCTTTTATTTTTCTCTTCTATAAACTATTTCTTCTTCTTTTTTTATTCACACATTATTAATATCTTGCAAAGAGAAAAAAGAAAGAAAGCGGATGTCAATATAAATGCGATTCATTATGACACAAGAAAAAGAAAAGAAACAAGGAAAAAACGAGATCTTTCATCATGATAGCAATGACGATTTCCGTCATCTAGTCAAAAACAACATTCTTTTTTATTTCTCTTCATAATAAAAGACATATAAAATTTGATGAACAATAAATAAATATTGTTCGATTACGTATTTAATCAACCATATTCAAACAAATATATAATTATAGCTTTTTAACGAGATTTAAAAGGTAAAATTATATATCATTTAAAAAATACAATACTAAACATTTAGTTTTTACATAGATATTCATGAATATGAATAAATATAATCGAATAATATAAAGAAAACATTTTTTTTTCTCCTTCCTTACTTATGTCACATGCATATGATAAATATATTGTATTTTCTAATCATTCATCTGTTTTTATTTTTGTGTGTGTGATAGATAAATTCTATTATATTCGCTTCAATTGACAAAATAAATACTCATTTTTCATTCATAAATGAAAAAAATATATATAAACGCATTCGGAAAGCTCATTAAGTTTCAAAACATTAAAATTATCTATACATCCGGTTTTAGTTAATTAAAATGAAAATGTATACCTTCGTGTTCGATGTGCAGCATGAGCAAGCCGACGTCGACTAGCAGCAGCGGCCATTTACGTGTTTTTTTATCTCGTTTAGATAGATTATATGTTCATTATATAGTCATGCATTTAAGATCTTCGTTGTGTTGCTCGTCAGTTGAAGGATCACGTTAGTTGAAGGTAGTTAATCGTAATGTTGCTCTTCTTCCTTGTCGGTCGTTGTCTCGTTTTTTCTTTTCTTTATCCGTACTTCGGCAAGAATGCACAAGTCTCATACTACACATTGACGAACATCTATACTCGAGAATGCCTATGCGTTCATATACAACTCTAGAACTCTACTTGTAGTTGTGTTGTTGACATAACTACTCTTTCTCTCTTTCCAACATCGACATTCTCTCCCTCTCTTTCTGTCTCTCTCTCTCTCTCTCTCTCTTTATTTCTGTTCTTGACTAAGCACCTATTCTTCCATAAGGATTATTCAGTATTCTCGTCGAACGTCATGCGCGTATACCCACACATAATGTTTACGAATTTTTGTTAGAAAGAAGAAAAAAAAATATAGTCTAAACAAGCAAGTAATGAGAGAAAATATTAAATAAAAAAAGTATTTTCTGTCTTTTACATTCGCTTCTTCTTCTTCTTTTTCTAATATACAATGAACTCATCATTATATTGAATCTCCCGCGAGAACAACAATAAATATAATAGGAGATGTTCATGAAAAAAAATTGAATAAATTTGTAAAGCTTAATTTCCTCCTCGGGTGGAGATTTTTTACTATATCGTTATTTTTCTTTATCTATTAAAATATAAAGAAAACAATGGAACCGATATATTCTATTCATGTACAAATCAATAAGTGTAAAAAATACTTGTCTTATTGAATATTATGAATCGAAATACTTTTGTTTTATAATTCAATTTATTTCACCTATGTATCTATTCGATTAATAGAAAAGATGCCTTGAAAATGCAAATTTATTATTAGAAAAGTATTATCTGTTTTCTCATGAGAAATATTGTGTTAACATCAATAACATGCACCTTTTGTTTCTTTTTTATTAAAAGAAAACGTTGTATTAATTCAAAAAGAATATTTAGTCAATTAGATTAAATTGACGTCAGTGCACTGTTGTATTCAAATATAATTTTATATGTTTTCTTTATACTTGACATACTAGTACAACAAAGCGATAAGATTTCTATCATCATGACATATTCATTATCCACACGTCTTTCATTTTCTTCTTTTTTTTTTCTTTTTTTTTTCCAGACCATATACTGTTCGCAGTGTATGTCACATATAAAAAACAACGTCGAATTACCAAAGAAACAAAAAATTATACTCGATGATATTCATAAACAACTTTATCAGAGCAAAGAAAAATAATTAAAGAAAGTACCTAGAACTTGACTCTATATTTAAACTAAAAAACTCATTTACCTTAGTCTAATTTAATTAAAAATAAATAGAATAGATTTATACTTACTTATGATATATCATTTGTTGTAAATAAGATTGTCATGTAACAGTAAAATAAAATCTTCTCGCTTTTCTTTTTTGTAAAGAAAAGTATATAGATACGCGTTTTTTTCGGATGTTATTATATATATGTTAAGGATAGAATAGTCCGGATTGCCTTATCAATTATTACAAGCTATTAACAATGAAAATAACTCATAATGAGGCTAGTTAAAGTTGTAAGTATTTCATACTTGAGACGTAAACAATTTCATGTCAGCATGTTTTCTATTCACTAGACAAATATAAAATGACATTGACAAATTAAATAGATATTTTCAGTTTTTAAATAGATTATTGATTATATTAGAAATGTATGATTTTTCTTTTTGGTAAAAAAATACTACTACAAAATCATGATAGTGTTTGTTTGACTTTGAATTGATGGGAACGCAAATTATTCTTATACATTCTCTTAGTCTCATTAAGATTTACTTCCGAGATATGTGTTCAAGATAGTTCGAGAGAATTCTTATACACAATTCTAATAGTTTTTTACAACTAATTCAAAAAAATCTCATTATTAAACGGAGGTATTCATAATAGAATATTCTTAGTATAGAAAATGACATGAGTTAAATTATTTTTATCCAAAAGGATTTGTTTTATACTACATAGAATATTCGTTCAAAGACGAGTTAATTCAATAAACTATTTATCATTAAGATATAAACATGCCAAATTAATAAGAATACTATGCGTGACTGTAAAAATGTCACTTTATATATATGGGATATAGATCGAGGTATTTTATTCATTAATAACAACAATTAATAAACTATTATCACCCTAGATAATATTCAAAAAATAATGATACTAATTTAATTAGACGAAACGAAAAGAAAAAAAAATGAACCGAATTTTTCATAAAATATTTTCTTATGAAATAGAAGAAAGAAACATAAAATTATTATCTTTTACTTCGCCCTAGTTCTTATCTTATATACTTCCGCAAAGAGTTCCGAGGTTATCAATTTGCTTTCAGTGTATTTTTATGCTTAATTTAGAGTTAAAAATAAAAAAGAAGTAGATGAAACGATTTGAATTACTATCTTTATAATTATAATTATTTGAAAATAACAAACTACATTCATTATTTTTTTTCTTGATATTTAAATGAAAATATCTTGATTTTTCTTAACTTCATCTAAATTGATATAAATTCTTTATTAATTAGAAATGAAGGATATTGTCTTAATTGAAAGATTTTATATTGTATATAATTGATTAATTTAATAAGTACATTATATATGTAGTTAGTAAAAGTATCTTGTTCTTTTTTTCTTCTATTGAAGTCTGTTAGAAAATCTTTGAACTATACTATCAATTAAACTAGGTTCTTTTGTAATTGAAAATATTCATAATTTACTAATATTTAATAACTTGGAAAAGCTATGTAAAGATTCATGTATATATGACAATGATAATAAAAAAAGATTTCTATAATTATGATATTCTTATTTCATGAATAGAGAATGTTAAAATTTTGTTTTTTTGTGTCTAGTAAAAATTTATATTACCGTGTAGTATGCCGACAAGTCTGTTGTTGACGATGATGATGATGATGATGTTGATGATGATATTGTGTTTTAAGACCATTGACAGTTAGATAAGTCATTGTTGGATGAAGAAAATTACCAGGTTGAATAATTGATGATGGTAATGTTGTTGTACTTGTTGATGTTGATACCTGTTGACTTACAGACGTACGACTAAATTTTGCTAACGATGGTGAACATGAACCAAGATTTGATCGATTTAATACATCGGCCGGTGGACGAGGTTCTTGACGTGGTAAACAAAGATCTCGAAGTGCAGCTCGAGGTGATGATGTCGGAGATACGGGTAACCAAGATGCTGGAACTAACGGAAGTATAAAACGTCGAGAAGTTCTTGATGCTGATCGTTGTGGTGATAATAATGCTGGATTTAGAGGTGATGCAGATGATACTTCACTCCATCGAGGATTACTACTAATTGATGTACATGTTGAAGAAAAACTTGAACCATTTGGATCTTGTCGACGACGAGCGCCAATCATAATAATACTATTCTTAATTTAATAATGATATTTTATATAGAAAAATGAGTCGTACATCTGAAGAGAATCATTGTATCACATGCAATGACGTTATCTTGATTATTTTTAAGACAAAAAACATGTTTCAAGATGAAAATAATATAATTGTGTGACTCAGCTGTTGTTGTCGCGTCATTATCAACCTAGTGAAAAATACATATGTGCGTGTTTTTAAGAATCAAATAGCAACTGAATTAACAAAGACTTACCTTTTCCTATTCTATTTTTCTTTTTTTTTTCTCTCTTTATCTTGATTTTATAGTGATAATTCTGTTTAGTTGCCCCTTACTTGCTGACACTCGCTCTTTCGCTCGGTTTGTGTTCATGAAAGCATAGGGAGAGAGAGAGAAAGGCAGTAGACGAGAAAAGATATGGTGGCTACTAATAATGAAAGAGAAGAGGAATTGTAACTTGTGTTCTTTTTCACTTTAGTGGCTGTTTTATTACGATCGCGACAATTACGGATTTCCGTTATGTTTTACTATACTTGTAACAAACTGAAAAATTGCATATATATACTTGAGACTTTTTGCTTTCTTGTTTTTTATTTCTTCTTTTATTTCTATTCCAATACGAATGAAAAAATAGCATGCATCGAATTATACGAAGACTGTTCGTCTCGAGGGTTTTACACCTTGATTCTTTGTCATCGACAGACTTATCTATACATAGTACAAAAGATCACTCACCATCGCATACATCTGTATATGAGCATAATAAAATCTACCAGACAACTGATATATGTGACGTGTTTCAATTCAAAAAAAAGATTAAAAAGAACAGCAAGCTTCAAAAGGAAAAGACGAAGAGAATGAGACAGAAAAAAAAGAAAAAAAATACTTCGCTATAATGCTTTCTATAGATAATACAAGCCCCATTAATGGTTAGTTATATCAGAAGACAAGAAAGATCAGTCAAATTAACACAAAGAAACAAAAACTACCGACCATCATTGTATTTTGAGCCAAAAACAACATTAACTTCGTTAGAAAAGCAAAAGAGCTAGAACATTCTCGTTTTTAATCTAATTGTATTAGCTAAAAATATCCATCGAAAATTTAATTAGAATATTTCTCTATAAAATAGAATATATAAATTTATAAGTGACAGAATTCTTTAGGTTAAAGAAAAGGAAATTTTCAAGTATCATTATGTTATTTATTCAATAGTTCTTCTAAACGGATTATTAATATGTTCAGATAAAATGATTGATTTAATGAGCATACTGTTAATAATCTAGAAGAGAAGATTAAAAAAAAGCAAAAGACACTGAATGAGTGATCTATAAAATTTGATTAGATGTTTTCCGTTGTTTCTATTATCGAAATTTTTCTTTTTGATTTTTAGTCACATATTTATTATATAGAATAGTAGGTCGTGTAAAATCATTGATAGTTTTGTTAAGCTAATAAAGAAGAAGACGTAATCAGTTCTGTAATGATCAAACATTTGTTACATGAGAAAATAATCTGTTACTAAAAAGATACAAGACAACCGTTTATGCAAACAATTTAGAAAGTTATGGAAAACTGTTAGTATATATGTTAAACTAGTAATCAACGTATAAAGTCATGCAATAATATTTTAATGAATTTGTTGTTTCATATATTTCTTTTTTTTCTCATCTGGGTTAATCCGTTCGAGCGAATATACTCTTTTAAATGCTTACTTTGTCGGTAGTTGCTGTATAGTATTATTTATAGATTGTAAATCTGCTTGACGAGACACTTCAGTCACATCAGTAAGTAGGAAATCTATATTCTGGATATGAACTAGAATAGTAAACCGCAATATATTGTCTGAGAAAAGGATATGATTATTATTCGAGCCTTGTTCTTCGAGTAAATTAGTGAGATTTTCCAATGAAGAAGTAATTTGTATGATGGATTTGAAAAGTAGGATTATGAACTCTTCGATATTATTTAACTCAGAATCTGATTCATAGTCACAAAATTTTTATTGGAAGCCAAATGAAATAGATTCTTGAACAGATAATTATAGAGTTAATCATATTATCAAACTCCTACGACCTCTTAAATATGAGTAATTGAGAATGAAGGAAGAACATTCAATATTTCTATTTTTACTTATATATTTTATTTTATGGAAAAAATATGGTTTAGTCATATTAAGCATTAGAATAGTTCTCACTATCGCAAAATATAAGGTTATGATATGTATCTCATTTAATGTTTTCAAATAAATTTTAATTTCTCCAATAATATTATCGAATAGATTGTTTGTCAATGTTATATTCATACTCAAAAGAATGTACTATATACTCTGAAATATATGTAAGTGATTGCAGATAATCTTAATCTTCTACAGATACAATTAAAAAACTAATACATTTTTAAACAAATAATTTTAGAGATACGAAAAATCTTGAAATGAATTTCAATTTGGATTTGCTTATATCTATATATCATACGTCTTTCAAATATTTTTATAAATATGATTTGAATAAATAAAACAAATGACGCATCTAAGACATTAGCTGTCTGATTGCGCTAATCGATTTTAAGCATATGGATGTGGATAAGCATGAGTGGCAAATTCATTCACCCATACTCTCAAAATATTTTTCTCAGTAGAACTATATTATTCATACGGTAATTTTCCTGGCACCACCATTCTCAACAAACAGATTTATCAAAGATATTACCATATATTTGATTGTATTATTAATTTTGTAATAGCTATTATTTAATATGTAGTTTTGTCAAATGTTTCTTGTATATTTTATTCTGTTTAATTCACCAACATACTCATTGTTTTGTGCAAAAAAATTTGTCTTAATAAATAAATACCTAGTTGTGCATTTAATAATTCATATACTATTTTGTATAGAATGCTACAAATGAATATAGAAACGTCAATAAATAATTTAGATTGGCTATATTTTTTAAATCGATGTATCTTATGAACTCTGAGGATAGAAATATTTGTTAAGTGCAAAATCAAATTATTATACAATGTTTACGTGTATGAACATACAAGAGCTACGATCATAATAAATAATTTTTCATTAATTCTTTAAATTTTTATCAATTATGAATAAAAATGCTTACTAAATTTGACATATTCCATGGAACTAGAAAATATTCTCCTGAAATATACTGCCGAATGTCAAAAATCTCTACTATTTCTTATCTATACTTTTATTTAATATGAAAATCTATTAACTATTCTCACAAATCAGGCTTATGTTATTCTATTAATATATTAGCAGTATCATTTAATAATCTAAACTGACTACATTGTAATGAAATTTATAGATACTCCTTTGTTAGCAACTTAACTGATGTTCATGCCTTTGATTATATATATTTTCTGAAATATATTGATTGTAACGCAAATATCGAATTCATTGCTTTTTCCTTATATATTTGTTATTATATATAAGTTTTGCTTATGAAATAAAACTGAGGTAAGTGTTTTATTGATACAAATAATCAAGAGTTTTATTTGTCATTTATATTAATATGAATTTTTAAATTATTATTAGAGATGTTGCCCCAAGGGCTATAATGTACTATTAATACCAAACGTTAGAAGGATATGTTGACGTATTAATGAACAGCTGTGACTACGAATACAAGTTGACGTTCGAGGGATTGATATTCAAATTTATATGATTGCCTACTCATTCATCATTTGCATATCGAACATTTGTTGACATCTGTTGCAAATTCGTCTTGATAAAAAATAATGCGATAAGGGACGGTTTTTAATAGATACTAACATGAATAATAAGGTGACTCATTACTTATTAGTTTTATCATCAGGAACTCACCAAAAAATCAATTTTAACATATCCTTTAAATTGTTGATATTCTTTATATAAGTAAGTCAATAAAAATAAGCATTATTCTGCTTATATAAGCTCGATCCGCAAATGTTATTTCATCCTTAATAGAAAAATGATAGTTTTTCATATTAATGCAAATCCATAATACATTTCCTCAGGGCAATGTATTAACTGTGCAAGAAAATCAGATACATATATATATACTCGATGATCTAAGTTGCATAAAAATATTTGTTTTCATTATTGAATAACTACTATTAATTATAAATGTAATAGAGAAAACAATAATTATATCAACATTTAAATCTACAAAAATATCATTGGAATTCTTTTTTATATATGAAGAACTCTTCGAGTAAGAACTATTTACTAAGTAGTATAATTTTATTTAAGTTTCGGTTTAAACACTGACTACAAATAATACAATCCGATAAACTTTTGTTATTACGAAAAATAAATCTTGATAGATGCGATACTTCATTTTGTCTGTGATTATATCTGTCGATGTCGAGAACAACGTACTGTACAAGAACTATAACAAGACAATAATATGTTGATGGATAGCTGCGATGATGAGATTTACGATCATAAAAATAATCGTTGAGTGATATATCTGTCCTCTTTCTATAGCACGTATTTTCTTTATAGTCATGTCAGCAAATCATTTTTATCAGATCTATATATCCACATTTACAATCTATTCCACATATAGAATCACATTCAATGTATGATACCTTCGAAGATATGTATATTTGAAAACAGGTAACATCATGAGATGGAATACGTTTTATTTTATATTTACATAATTTATAAATATGCGTTCTATTCCTAGCATATCTAATATAGATGAAATCAAATAAAATTATTCCGTCTACCTCTAAAGTATAAGTCTGATAGAATAAATTATGTCTGATATGTTATTTATAACAAAATAAATTTTGTTTTCAAAATCAAGGTTTATGAAAATCAAAATATAAACGATGTAAATTAGATGTGGTGAATAATTGTCGATGGTCGTCATATTAACTTCAGCTTGAAAAATACGTAAAAAAGAAAGAATATATCCATTCACTTAATTAATATTTCAAAAAGCTTTTATCATCTTTGGTTTTTGTCATGATATTGTATGTACTATATACAGTAAAGAATATCTATTGTTATTTCAATGTTATTTTACAATACTTCAGCTTAAAATAAAACAAGATGTATAACTCAAAGTAGAAGATTCGACAAAGTATAAAGTCACAAAGTTAAAATCTCAATAACTATAAATAATCGAAATATATTTTGCTTGTAGAGTGTTGATTTATAACGTATATCGAATATATGACAATGTGACAACAGTGTAGATGCTATCCATTTATGGTATACAAATGTCGGAATAGATATATCGTAAATAAATTATTTGCCATAATTGTATTCGAATAATATTTCTCTCTATTCAAATATGAAAGAAAAACGAGACATATTTACACTCGTCATTGTTTTAAATCCATTCAATTTTTCAAATGTCAACAACCTAGATTCAAGCAAAGTCTTAAAAGTATTAAATATTTTGAATTCAACATGGCGAATAAATTCCAGGTGTTATGTAAGGAAATTGTTATGAACAAAAAAATCTTTTTTGATAAGTAATTAATATATAATTTAGAAGTAGAAAACGTAAGGAAAGTACTCTTAACATCCCATTACTTCAATAAAAATTCTTTTTTTCATTTCTTTTCTATTATAGTTCCATAATAAGAAGATTTCAGTCGATCATGAAATGTCACTAGACAATAGAACATGGAAATTCTCTAGATAGACATCTGAATGCATATGTCAAAAAATACTTTTTTTTTGTGTGTCCCAAGAATGTATATTGTCTTCAATGTCATTTCTCTACTGGTGGTATTTTACAAAATTCTAAATTATTATCAAAATAACACACTCATATATATATATTAATATAAAAAAATTTATTCCGTTCTTATTTTCTTTTAATAGAAAGCGACAAGTATATCTATAATACAAAAGCATTTTCACTATCATGCTGAGATATTCATAAATATTTGCGATACATATAACATTATAATAACAGGTTATACTTGTAACGGCAAACATCTAATCCTTAAATAAGTATTATGCCTATGAAGAAGAAACGTAAAAGTTGTTTGAAATATGATAGTATATCGTAAATCGATCAGAGAAGAATGTATATTTTCTTTCGAGGCCATATATAACGACCATGTATAATACTCAAAGACAACACAAACGATACTTTTTCCTTATCAATCTAATCATAGAATAAACACAACGCGTGCCTATCATTACCATTTTTTTTTCTTCTTCTGAGAAATATATCTAAAGAATAATTTTCCGATTTTCGATTATTTATTGCTTTATCAATTCGATTCATATAAATCTACTTCCTTTACCATAGATAATTGGAACAAAAAGAACAAAAAAAAAAATTATTATGAAGAATAAAGACAAAGAAAGAAAGAAAAAAACAACGATAATATCTAATATAAACTTTATACATACAGGAAAAATACTGCTCAATAAAATGAGAAAAAAAGAAAACAAAGGACAAACATAAACGACAAGAACCAAAGAAGAAGAAAAAAAAACAACCGGTGGTCAGTATTAGAATTACAAATTTTTCGTATTTAATTCTTTTGGCGAATTACATTCGTTATTTTATCCATATACCAATCCTGTTGATAATAACAGAATATACGAAACATACAATAATAAGAATAGAAAAAACAGACCATACATACACACAACATTTATTATATTAAATTATTTTTTTTTGTGTTTTTTTTTATTAGATTTATTATTAAAAATTAACTTTTGTTTATTTATTTATTTTATGTTTCAAACTTTTTTTGGTCCATATTCAATAGCTGCATCGTCCCATTCATATTGATGATCGAGTGTTCTTGGATTTTTCGAATCAATTTTAAAGTCATCATCATCTCCCGATAAATTACCATTACGATTATTTTCAAATTCATCACCTTCATCGTCCGAACTTGCACCTGGATGTCCATTCGTTGGTTGTTCAACATTATGAATATTAACTGATTCAATTGTTTTCTAACGGAAAGGAAATAATCAAAAATGAATTTACAAATACAATCAAATAAAAATATCGACTAACTTTTGCTTCATCATATGGATTAACAATAATATTAAGACCGATATCATCTTCCCATTCCATTTGTGAATGTATATCATCGGTTGTATTTGTCAATGGATTATTTTGTCGATTAGTTGAACGCATACGAACAACAAGATAAAGTACAAGTACACCAACAAGTCCAATAGAAACACAAATAACTACAGCAATCGGCCAATCTATAAGAAATTAAATTCATTATTAATTAATCTTGTTATTTATCTTATCTTGAACTTTTTCTATTAACTTAAGCTCATCTGTCTTCCAATGATAACTTTTGCTTTGATTGCTTGTGTAATCTGTTAGCATACTTTGCTTTCTTATCACTTGTTGTTCTTACTGCAAGCATAACTATTACTCCTGTTTGTTGTAAAGGCAACGCAAATTGAGCAATCAAATAGTAAATAACAAGATAAAAGAGAAAAACGAGTTATATACTAAATATGAAGCAAAAGTTCATCACCTGGTGATGCTCTTTGCATCCTATGATGACAACAACGACAAGTACGCTAATTGATTGTATATGCGCAATTGGGAAATAGTTCTACATCCGTATGGTTATATATATAGAATCATCTATATATACATACGTATATAGTAAATTGACCATCAAGGATAGTATACTGTTATGTGTGAAACATTTGCCGTTTTACTTTTATTCAAGGTCAACAATATCATTGACCGATAGATCGATTTATAAGTGAAAAAAATCCATGTGAACTTACTAAAAGCTGGTGGTACAAACATTTGTATAAAATTTCGTTGTATATAATATAAGATAAAAAAAAGTCGTTAAGACGAAAAGTCGTTGTACTAGCTATCACTATATAAGTCGTTGTCGTCGATAATGATAATGACAGTGGTTGAAAGTCTGCTTGACGTAGTAGGACAGAGAGAGACAGAGAGAGAAAGCGAGGGAGAGAACAACGTCTTGACGACAGCGTAGAGAAGAAGAGGAAAAAAATGCCGGCCACCGATGAGATGTGCAAGAGCGCGAACACATATATAGGCCCAGTCAGACAGCAGATAATTTTACAATAGAGTTACACTCATTTTTCTCCTTTTTTTCCTTCTTCTGCGCGTACAAAACAGAGAGATGATTATAAGCAGAAATAAATAGGAAAAAAAACGCAGCAGGGAAAAAACTTTTCCTTCGCTTTCTCCTTCTGCTTTTTCTTTTTCTGTATGAGAAGATGGTAATAGAAGGAGAACAATCTAGATGATTCATTTAATACTCTCGTTCTTAATTCAATGTCCAGTCTTCATTTGCCTATTTCGATTAATAGTATATGTGAGCAGTCACATCTGTTTGTGTTCAATCACTCTTGCATCTTATTCTCTTTAACTTTATATAAAATTAAAATTATCATTTTGAACTGTATATTGACACATATACGAATATCTTATTGCTATTAAGAAAAAAACAAAGAAGAAACAAAAAAAAAGAATTTTATCTCTTTCTCCTTTCTTTTTGCTTATTCATTGATGTCTCCCATTTGCTTGTTTAACTAGAAGTCGTGCGCCCTTCGACGTCAGCCATATAAACATAAACATATACACAACAGAAATCATATAGTAGCTCCTAAGAACTATAAGTTGATGGTATACCACTAGCTAAGCATTAGACGATACAATCATCACCCTTTCTTCCTCCACTTTGTTTGTCTTACAGCTGCTAGCAAATAACAACATCATCAAGCATTTATAAGGATAGATATCTATTGATGCGAAATACTTTTATCTATTACTTCTTTCTCCCATTCAGATAATTTATTCTATGAACTCTACACACGTTATAAATACAACCTATTAGTCTATTAAACTTTTCAATCAACAGAAAATCTTTCTTATTCTCAACAGATCTAATCTAATCCAATTACCTGATACATTTCGTCTGGTTACAGACGATTCTCCTTCAACATCAAATAAATTATCTTTGATGTCATCATTGTTTACTACAAATTTATCCGATAACACAGCAGCAACTGGTGCTCGTGCAGCCATTTGTTTTTCAATATGAATCTATAAGAATAGAAAAAAGTAAATTTATGTATATACGTACGAAGAATAGTAAAAGAATCTTACTCGAACACGAATTTCATTTGTCAATACTCGATCATAGGCACCAGCACATGAAAGTAAAAATGATCGATCAACATATGTAACTGGTGATTTTGATATATAAGCAATTTGTCGAAGAAAGTATTGATAAGAATCAATTGATTCAACTCCTAAAATCAATTTTTGTTTAAAATAATATAAAACATTCATAAAATAGACGTACCTGTAATCACAGCACCCTCTTTTGTAATTTGACTTTCAAGTTTAATATCATCAGGTATAATTAATTGTTCACTATTTGATAAAGGTGGTGTTGCTCTTAAAGTACAATCACTAATATCACCTATCGTAATAAACAAAAATCACTTTTTATATAGAACAAATGAAAAACAATATTTTACCTCGACTTTTCTTAATTGCATTTGTATAAACTGATAAATTTCGGAATAGATAAATACCTTGTTCCATAGCTAATTCTGGTACTAAATAACTTGTATCAGCTTTAAGTTCAATTTTAACTGGAATTTTTGGTGGTACAATTGATATATATCGTGTAAGTGCTGGTAAATCATATGTATTAACTTCACCTAAACATTTTATTCGTGTATTAATTGATACTGTTCGTTGACCATTGGGACCAAGTGGTTGAAATGTATTACGATAAACAATATGTTTTAATAATTTTTCATAAGATTCTCTTGCATCTGTACGTAATATCCACATTGATCGATTTGAATTACTAGCAAATTCCTAAAATTAATCAAAGAAATAAAATTTCGTTTTTGTATTTATTTAAAAAAATATATACGAATTCTACTTACAACACCTGCTTCCGATTTAACATCAGGAATATCAATATATTGATGGCAATCTCGAATACAATTTGAAGATCGTTGTAAATCTTCTTTCTGTTCAATGGTAAGTCCAGATACTTGACCACGAAAATGTTGAACCAAACGAGATGCACGTGCTAAACAAAATTTTTATACAAGTAATTAGATTGAAGTATGTATCATTTTCGATCAAAATAATAATCGTTATTAAATTCAAATTTTCTATGTTTATACTCTGTATCTTATCAGTTGATTATGCGCAGTCATTTTTCAATATATATATACTAAATGTCCTGTCAACATATCTCAAGCTATTTATGTAGATCAATTAAAAATAAATTTTTCTTTACCATGCCAACAACCACCCAATGCAAAAATTGTCTCTTCAGTTCCCGGAATAACTGTTAATGGAGAATCTTCGATAACTCGAAAATTCTCACTTGTTGGAACAACTAAACGTTCATCAACATATAAATCAACCTTAAAAAATAAACATATTCATTAAGAAAATTTCTTAGCCACAAAAATTCTTTACTTTAGTTGGATAATTAACAATAAATTTATATGAATGCCATTGATTATCATTTATTTCTGATATTTTCCACATCCATTCCGATGGATATTTTGCTTGACCATTGGATGATAATGGTCCTTTACGTAATAATAGTTTTAAATAATTATTTTGAATAAATAAAGCAGTATGATGACGATTTTTTACTAAATATATATACGTATATTTAGAAAGTTTTATAGAACAAAAGAAGAAAACAACTTACATTTTTCATCACTTTTACAGAAAACATGTTCTTTTTCGTTATTGTGATTATTATTTCCATCATTAGTATGTTTCATCCACGTATGAATTGTAAATTCGTTATTCAAATGACCAGAAAATTGCGATTGATTAACGATTAATGCTTGATTGTAACCATTAAAGGTCATTATTTTTGATTGAGGTATTTCGTTTGAATTACCATCTTTTTCTAATAATACATACTCACGATTTGTTGTTGCTTAAAAAGAAAAGAAAATAATATTTTTTTCATTTATTTTCCGCATATAAAAAATACATACAACATTGTTCAAGGTTACAACCACTATCTAATCCTTTTGAATGAAGTTCAACTGTACCAACAATATCTTCTACAATACATGTTTCATCACATGTATTAACATTTACACCATCGAATAGATGAAGACGATCCGATTGAATAATTAATTCGGATTTTGCGTTGTCTAAAGAAATATATATATACATATTGTATGAGTTTTTGTTTTTATTACATACCGTTAACTGATGGTTTGCATGCTTTAATAATTTTAAAAGTAACTTGAGCTGATTCACTAACTTTTCTTGAATTATCACTCGATGGAAAGCAATCAATCGCAATAACATTAAATACATATTGATCATTAGTTAAAGTTTTTGTTATTGATATTGAACCTTGTGAATCAATTGAAAATGGAACATTAGGTGTTGTAATTTCATAACCGCATACACGATGATCAGTATTAGCACAATCATCATCAGTTGCTTCAACCTAATATATAGATACATATAATCGGATTTGAAAAATATACTTACTAATTTTGATATCTATCCTAAGGCTATAGAACTTATCTGTCAGATTATATTTATTTATAATTATATAGAGACCGAGAAGAACTACAAGTTTTGAAATTAGAAGACTTTGTAAGACTTCTATATGCATAGATTGTTTTTCTATGAAATATATTTTTTCTTTTGGATTTCCGAGTAGTTTACTTATTACAATAGATATGATATATTTTTAACTTACACGACATGATGTTGATTCACAAGTTTCACCTTGATGTAATTTGAATAGATAGTTGTCATGAGTAAATACTGGTGCATATTCATTCACATCATCAACAGTAACTATTAACGATGATCTAAATAGAATAAACAAAATATATCGATTACTAGAGCAAATTTTTGTTTTCTTTCTTTATCCTTTATTGTTACTCTATTGGACAATCAGACGATTTTCCCTTGAGATAAGTGTCTCGAAACAAAAATATTTTTACTGTACCTTTCTGAGTAACGACGTTTGTCTGCTGATGCACAATCAAATGCACGAATAAATAAACGATGCGTTTGTTTTATTTCACAATCGAGTGTTTGAATATTTGATTTAAGTTTTATAACAGGTTGATTATTAAGAATTTCAACAGTAAATGGAATGTTTTGAGTTATTTCATCAAGAATATCATCATGTTTATGTAATGATAACTCGTAACCGCATATTTTACCTATAGAGGAAACGATGTTTACGAATGATTAATGATATCATGAATAATAATCAAAAAAACAAACCATTGATTGAATTCGATGGATCAGCATCGGTTGCATATAAACGTGGTTCGATTTGAACAGTACGTTCATTTTCGCTCAGATGACCTACATAACTATTTGCTGAAAGAATCGGATCATATATATTTGGTTTTATCCTTGTAAATTTCGTTTCTGTTGACACTGTTTGTGTATTTGTCAAGGCTATACAATCGACAACGAAAAGATAAAAAGAATAAAAACATGAGTTAACCTTGAAAGGTGAAATTCATTTTTTCTTACCTGCAAAAACCACAAAAATGGTCGGCCAAATCATAGAAATCGATCGTTGTTTTGTTAAAATCTAAAACCTCACGAATGAATATCAAAAGAAAAAATCATCAATATTAATAATATATATTTAAACGAAAAAAAAAAGTAACACACTGATGACGACGTATGAAAAAGTAGTCGAACTAATATTTCTACTGCTTGCAATGAAGAGAAAGAGAAAAAAAAACAGAGAAGCAGCAGCTCGGATTTTTTTTCTTCACTTATTCCGTTGTCGCCTTTTTTTCTCCCTTTCTGTCGCTCTCTTCCTATTCTTTTTTTTCTTGTTCTCCTCGATTTTTTTTTGAAGTCTATTTAAGATACATACCACTATATTGTAGGCTTTATATTTAGCATTTTCCTACCGATCCGCTTTTTTTCTTTGCATTCACTCATATATATATATTTTTTCTATATTCTTCGTGTCAATAAGACCATCACAAATGAGCAAGAATAAGAAAAGCTGGAAGGAAAAAAAGGAATATAAGAAAAAGATCCATATATATATTGTCATCACCATCATTGATGTGCTTGCCCTCCAGCTATGTTCGAATGAAGAACAAAAAAGTCACATATATTTTTTTTCTCTATTTATATTTTATATACAAATATAACAATTGAAGAAAAAAAAAGTGCTAGACATTTAATGCTGCTTAACAAAAAAAAAGAAAAATAATAAACTAATTAAAAGATCCAGTAATACATGTGACCACATTTCCATGAGAAGTATATGCTGTTTTTGTTGATTTAAATATTCCTTTTTCTCTTAATGGTTCCTTATCTTCATCGTCAGATAAATCAGAATAATCTGTAGAATGTAAAATATTTGTTTGTTGTTGTTGAAGTATATCATTATCTATTATTGGAATAATATTTGCTTGTTCAAGTAGTTTTTTTGGTAATAAAATCATTTGTCCATCGTTTATTGTTCGAATAAGATATGTTGTATTTAATTGTAAATTATCACGATATGTAGATTCCAATGAAACTCGACATCGTTTAGCTTTTTCAATTGTTTGATATTGTTTAGTTGAATAAAATAGTTTTTGACGATGTCGTTTCAATGTTTTTAATTGATTTTCATTTTCATGGTCATTTTTACCATGTAATGTGAGTGATGTTGATGATGAATGAAGACGACGAGGACGACGATGAGTGGGAAACGAAGAAGAAAAGGTTTTTTTTAACGAATCTAAACGTTGAGTAAGAGTTGCTGTTGTACTTGATGAATCTAATATTGATTTGCATCGTGTTTGAAGCTAAATATTTATATAAAAAAGAAATCATTAAACTATTTATATCGCAAATCAATAGAAAAAAAGTGAAATATACTAATTAAAGAAATATCATTATTATTGACGAGATTTCAAGTATGAGAAAGTAAAATGTCTATACTTATGGCTCTTTCTTTTTAAGGACATGGCTTCACCAATGCCAAAAATAACCGAAACTCCTATATATTTTTTTTCTTAATTTATTACCCAAAAAAAAGAAGGTATTCAAGAGCAAATAATTTACTATTCAATCTTTTTATACTGTATAATCAAGTATGAATATACATTGAAATTTGAATTAAATGATTGAAAGAATATTTTATAAATATAGACTTAGTCAAATTTTGTAATAGTAAACGTATAGGCAACACTATATATTTGTTTAGTTAAGAATTATTTGTAATTCAAAGATAAACTTAATAATTGATTAATAACTGTGATATTTCTTTTATATTGTTACTCAAAACGTCGTATAATCTCTCGAGTTTTTGTGAATATAAATGTTTTCTTAAGTCGACAAAGTGATATTTTTTTGATAAAAAACATAGTTCGTAAATACTCAGTGATATCATAAAAACAACAAATATTTGATTTATGATTGACTTATACTTGAAGGCCATCTCGACAGATTAGTCTATTCATCTGTCACTTTAAATTATCATCTATAAAATCTACCTGAAGTAATTTTTGTCTAACTTTAAGACAAGTATTAATTTGTGTTATTAATAATTCAGCATTTTCACGTTGTTCAAGAACGAAATCAATACGTTTGATTAATGGCAGTGTTTTATTCGATTGTCGTTTATGAATCCAATAATTATAAATTTTTTTTGAAATATTTTCATCATAATCTTGTGGACATTCTTCATGTAGATGTAATGGAGATATAAAGGAAGCAAAATTTTTATAATAGTCATGTATCCATCGTTCAGTTTTTAATTGATCACGACGATAAACAGTTAATGGAATTATTGAAGGTACGGAAGATGAACATGAAGAATCATCTTCATTCGATAGGATTGTACATGGTTCTTGTTCGGAACGTTTTCTAGCTTCTTCGGAATGTTTAAAACAATAAGCATTAAATTGAGAACGTGATGTCGAAGATTCTTTTGAAGATGTTTGTTGAACATCAAGGAAATAGCCAGCAGCAAGGCCACAAGTAACCTTGAAATAGAAAAACGAACATGAGAAATGGATTATTAACTTCAAATCTACCTTTACAGACAAAAAGAAAGTCATTTAGATTTATATATTTACTAATTTCACTAACCTTGATTACATCAAACAATAGAGTTTACTTTAAATACGTACATGAAATGGTGTCCGACAATTCTTATGTGCACATTGTACACAAGCACCTTCCATTGTTGAACAAACAACACAACGAAGAGACCAACGAGCATGTGAGATTTTATCCAAATATATCACTGGTTCCTATTTAAATATTTATTTATGACATAAACTTCTTTATCTTTTCTATTTCTTACCATTTTAGTGTAATCAACAAATTTAAGTTCAGGTAACCAAAGAGCACATGTTAAATGACACCAAATAGTTCCACTTGTTGTACATTTCATTGGACCGCCAAGTCTTAAGAAACCAAAAAAATGATTTTAATTATTTTTTTCGTTTTTCTTACTTCGGACAAAGAATACAAGTTGGTCGTCGTAAAATTGAACAAGGTCTACAAAGCCATGTTCCACTTGGTACATCGGATATTCCATAACAATTTTGATGTACACAACAATTACATCTTTCACAAAATACCATTTCATTTTCATCATCAGCATCAGGTAATAAACATATATCACATACAACATCATCATCTTCACATGATTTTTGTTTAAGTTGTGAACGAATTTTTTCTGCGATAGAAAATTCTAAAATAATTATAGCATTTTCGAATTCTTCTTCATTTATTTGTCGTTTTTCTAGAAAGAAAAAATTATAAACTAATGTAAGTTTAATAAAAATCTTCATTTTATTTTTTACGTTTCGTTTTATTATATTGATTAAGTTCATGAAGAAATTCTATATCATCATCATCTATATCATAATCAAGTTCATGCATAACTGCTTTCATAATTAATTGAGTCGTATCACTAGAAGAACAAAAGAAGTCATTCAATTATTTTTCTAGTTCAATGACTTTTCTAGATAAGATATATCTTGAAGTTAATAATGAAAACTTAGAAGTATTTTTTACGCCGTAAGAATTCTTTCTTTTTTATATATATAACATACGTTGGTTGATCAATTTGTTCGTTATTATTTGATTTGACTATTTTTCTTTCGAATATTTTTGATAATTTTTTATAAGGTACATTTTCATGTGTAGTATTTAATGATGATAGATTGACAGGCATAGATAGTTTATACCATTCACTTTGACGATCAGTAACTGTCCAATATGATGCTTTGGAAGTTGTTTTTGATGTTGTAGTAAATAGAAGATTGTTCGATGATGTGGATGGAGAATATTTTTCTATTTGTTGATCATTTGTTGTATCAGATGATAGAGATTCTTCTGTATGACCGTTTTCATGAAAAATTGTAGTTATTAATGAACTCGTTCGCATTGGTGGTTGAGGATTCTATTAAAATGAAAACATATAAAAAGATTATTTAGATTTTTTCCCTATTACCGTTCGACGACGTTGAGATCGACGGTTTGTTGTAGAAGTTTTTAATGATTTAAGTTTAATTTTTATTTTAATTCGTTTATTTGATGATGAAGAAGAGGAAGAAGAAGATGAAATTGATAAAGGTGAACGACTATTATAATTATTTATATCAGTCATTTTTCTGTTTAAATACAAGATTAATATAATATAATAAATTGTGAACAAATTTTTAATACGAACTTTTGTTTTAATCACAGATTTTAATGTAAATATATTAGAAAAAAGCAATAAATAAGAAATAATTCATATTGTAATAACATTGATAAAAATAATTGATTTAAATTAAAAAAAAGCAAAACAAAACTAAAAAATCTAAAAATAAAAATAATTTTCATTTTATATATCACGAAAAAATATATTATCATATTACAAATCACTTTTTCTTCCTAATCAACAATTGCGAAACAATAATAACAAGAAAACTTCCTATTTCGTTTAATTCATAATTTCAAATTATTAGTATAGCTATAAATCAGATCGAAAAACTGTATGTAGTTTTATTAGTAATCAAATATGTTTGCTCATTAAATCATCATTTGTAGATAGAATCTTTTTACCATCATAACAACATCGGCATGATGTTCTAAGGAAATAAATATTCTCTCTTATAATTGTCTATAATATCAATTAGATAAACCAAATCTTTACTATTTACTTAATATCGTACTAATGGTTTTTTATCCTTATCAAACAAAAAAAAATAATAATAAATCACCTTGTTGATTACATGATATATTTATCAAAGAACCGTCATTAGCTTCGAAGAGATTTGATCTATGAATGATTAGATATTGATAAATAAGAAAAATGTCTCGTCGTATACTATTATGATTGATTGAATGATGGAGATCTAAATCCTTGCAAAGTTTTTATACAAATTATTAATGTAAACACACTATCTCTTCTGGATATATCAAGACTTATTCCAATCGTAGTTTTTTTATTATAGTCAAACTATTTTTCAGAACAAAATAGAAGAATTATCTCATGATTGATTAAGACTCAGATAGAATAGTAATTTTAACATACGTTATATGATCTTGACTATTGAGCAATACTTATAAATCTTATGTGAGTTAGACAATATAGAATTAATAATTAATATGAAATATTTTTTATTTATTAGTAAAATGTTAGTTATTAAGACTAATCTTCTTCGTTTCAAGATTAATAGATATTACTAGAATAATTAAATCAACTATCTCATCTATTGATTGATTTTATAGTTCATCTTTGTTCTTGCATAGATATTTCCAATATGAATAACCTTAATTGTGATACAACAAATGAATCATCATATTTTGATCTATGAGAAGCTTTTTTTTATAGAAAAAATAATTTCATTAAATTGTATCTCCATTATAAGACTAAAAGAAAGAAAAGAAAAGATATTATTTAATATTTATGATTGTGAACTAAATGAAAAGTATAGCAATATCTTAAATACTCTCTGATTAAGTTATACTGACAAATTCTCTTACTTTAAATGCTTCTATGATGATTAATCGATGAATGTTTATTCCATCCATGTCAATATGAATTTGTTCTAAACGTTATTTCAAATCTAGAATTATAATTAATTTTATTCAACAATTCTCTTTTGTTTGATTTAATCTTTTGTTCAAAACTAAGGTCGAAAAAGAAAACATCTGATCAAGAAAATAAAATAAAGACTTTTTACTTTTAGTCAACATACACAAACACATACACACACACACATATAGATAGATAGATAAATGTATATAGATAAAGAATTTATCTGACTAGATCTGTTTTTGCTACTATACAAGCTGTTTCAATGAGAAGATTTAATTTGTCTATATTATAACTATCATCATAGAGATTAACGGTTGTATGTAACCAATGGCAATGTTCATCTGTAAGATGAATTTCGGATGGAGTTAATATTGTATGTATAAGTGATAGAACAAATTGAAATAATGATGATGATTGAGACTGTAAACGTGTCACTAATTGCTTTGATGGTGGAATCCATTGAGCGGTATTTATTGTGTTTGTAGTTGATTGTGAACATGAAGAACGAAGACGCTTCGATGAACGTGGTTCATCATTTTCATCACTTGATCGTTTATCATTAACTGGTGTTAGAATTGGAATATTCATTGTTTCGATTGTATCTGTTGTTTGCATTTGTTCTGATGATGATGTTGATAGTATATGACTAGTTTCAACATTCTCTACACCTTCATTCGATGTTAAAGACATTGATGCTAAAGAAAAATAATTTTTACTTTTGAACAGGGACTCCGATTATGGGGGAGCTGGGGAGGGTCTAGCCCCCCGCAAAATTCGAAAAGCGGTCTGTCTTTCTGCGAAAATTTTAAAGTTCTGCTGAAAACTTGGTCAGAAACTTGGTTTTTATGCTATTTTCGCCATTTTTCCGCCAGACACTCCAATGAAAACACTTTTTTTGATCAAAATTCCGTAGAAAGTGTATAGCTTAAATATTTTCTACGTTATATGCGTTAGAAAGCTATATGACGACACTTTCTGGCAAAAATTCTGGACTTTCTGCCAAATTCCCCCCCCCCCGCATTTTTGAAAACAATCGGGAATCTGGCTTTTGAATTTAAACTTTTGTACTTACAATCATTGTTTTTAATTTTAAGAATTTGTGTTGAATTAATCTGTTCTTTAACATGACTAATAACATTTAATAATTGATGAAGTTGATTAACAACTTCATTTGTTTCATTAATTATCTTTTTATTCTTTTTTGGTGATATTAATTTAGTTTTTTTATTTATTACTAATTGAATATTTGCTTGCTGAAATGCTTGATAACATTTATCTTTAAATGTTTTATATTCATCATCATCATCACGTTTTTCATTAATTAATATAGGCCAGATTTGTTCGAAATAATATTTAATATTTTTAACTGTACAATTTAAACCTTTTAATACATGTGTACGTTGTTCATCTAATAATTTCTTTTTCCATAATTCACTCATTAAATTTGTTGAACGATTATTACGTACACGACGTTCAAATAAATATCGAAATGGTAATGTACGTGCACATGGATATCCAAATGGATATACTTTATGTTGATCAAGTAAAGATAATACTTGTGCAGAAAGTATGGGTAAACGTGAACAAACAATTAATACCATTGGACAATGATCTAAAAAAATTATTTTATTTTAATATAAAAATAAAAGAATAGTTACTTTTTTGAATAAAATGTTTATCGATCCATGTAAGAAATATTTGTGGTGTTAAATGACCTAATTCATTATATGAATCTTGTTCATCATTGATGGTATTATCACGAAGTGAATTAGGAAAAATAAAATATGGTTCAGTTGATTGACCATCATTGGAAAATGCGTATATAACAGTGACTTTAGGTGTTATATTCATTGGACGTAATTCATTCCATTCTGGTAATTGTAGAATAGTAGATTTTTTTGTTAATGGCAATTCAAATATATCAACAGTCCATAATTGTGTCTATATAGAGAAAATAAAATGAATTAAAATCTTAATATAAATTCATTATAATGTAGTTTCCCGGACAGGATATAAAAGTATTGTCCATTTCAAAAAAAAAGGCAGGTGGGTATTTTTTGATAGGAACAAGATAGAGAGCTGCGGTTTTCATCGTTAGAAGGAGCAGATGAAGATGCATCAAAACATATCTGAGAAGTTTTCTCTAACTACTTTCCAAAGGCTGTTATAGGAAACTCTTCGATAAACAGTATGTCTCGCATTGAAGCCACATCAGTTCGTTCATTTTCGGGAGTGTTCTAAACTCGCCAGATCAAGAACTACAAAACTGTGTGAAGATTTTACTCATGACTACTACTAATTCAATGTTTCACTGATAAAAACTCGTATTTTTCCACGTGTGAGAAAAAGGTAGTTTTTCCAAAACATCTGACTAATAGTCTTTGAGAAGTAGTTAGAGAAAGTTTCCCAGATAGATATTGACGCACCTTCATCTGCTCTTTCTAATGGTGAAAACCGCAGCTCCCTATCTTGTTCCTATCAAAAATACCCACCCGCCTTTTTTTTGAATTGGACAGTAGTTTGAAGTACAAAAACTCTCGGTACGAAATATTATCTTATTTTTAACCTTATAAATATACTAAATTATTTAAACTTATATACTTTTTCACAATTAATTTCATTATCAATTAAATATTGTTCAAAATCTTCATTCCATTGTTTATCATCAACAATTGATTCATTATCTAATTGAATATGATGAAGTTGTTCAAAAGCTCGCCAAAAATTTCCAGGTGATTGTTGATCACAACTTTTTATTGAACCCATATTATTATTTCCACATATATTCATTGAACGTTTACTTGTTATTATACCTGTTAATTGATAGATTTCTCTTAAAAATAACTGTTTTGCACATGGCCAAAAATGTAATGAACGTAAATGACGTAACCAATCGACAGTTGATTTTGCTTGCATAAATGCATTTAATTGTAAAAGATGTGCACCAGATATAAATGATGAATTCATTTTATATGATAAACAATATTTAAAATAATCTAATTTCATTCCACCTAAATATTTACTTGCACGTGAAATTGACATCTGTCGATTAAGTATATATGATAAGATTTGTTCTGGTGTAGAATCCATAGGTGGATCTGCCATCAATGTTGTTGTTGTTGTTGTTGCCGAAGGTAATTTTGTTTTACTAGCTAAATATTCAAAATGAAAATTTTATGTAGATTGGGTATTTAATAAGCATTGAATATTGTACCTGTTTTAACAAGAATTTTTTTCTTTTTCTTCTTTGGTAATAAACTTTGTAGTGGTTGTTGTAATGATTGAACATATTCTTGATCATTTGTTTTCCATAATATTGTTTGATTAAAGATTTTAAATATTTGTTCATTGAGTTTAAGTGTTCGAAGTGAAAACCATATTGTATGAATAATACGTTGTGTAAATCCAGCTGATTTAGCACACATTTTATCTAACCGATTTGCTTCGGCCCATTGTTTATCAAATAAAGAAAAAAATGGTGATAGAATTCGTGATGTATAAGATTCAAAATCAGTTGTTATTATTTGTACGTTGGATTTTTCACACGATTTTTCAAAATCTGCTGTTAATAGAGTTGCACGTGGATCGATGAGAAGAGCACTAGAATTAAACAAAGATTTTTATCTAAGAATATATTTTGTATAAATATTAGAAAAGTGTAACCGAAATTTTACCCTTAGGGTTAAAATAACACCTAAGATATCCCATAGATATCTAATAGATAATAGATGGAGAAAACACAAGCTAGGGTTTTATATAATAATATTAATGGTAGTATAAATTGAAGCGTACGGATGCCAAAGTTATCGCGAAAAACTCTACCTGAAAACTGTAATTATGTATTTTTGATTGCTCTAATAGATACTCTGGACTGTACAGAGTCGGCTGGCGGTGCCGAAGAAAAAAGAGCACGCAGTTATAAGCTACAATTTGTCGAAAAACTTGAAACTCGTAAACTTTACTCATTTCGAAGTATTGATTTTAATGCTAATTTACTCTATAATCATCATTATGATTGGATTTATCAAGCTGTTTTTTCAAAATTATTACCTGTCCTTTGTCACAAATGACAAAGAAAGAAAATCATCAAGCCATTGTTGTACATGTTCAGCTAGAATATATCCATTATTTGTTTCAATAATACGTGTAAATGACGTTGATGAAGAATTAACTTGAAAGTGTCTTCCTGGTTTACAAACAATTAATTGATTGGAATATTTACCACTTGGTGTCATAGCAAATATACAATGTAAACGTACTGCACTTGTTTTCTTCAATGGTATACGTGCAACATTGTTATCTAATACGACTAATTCTGGTATTAATGTACAATGATTTACTGGTAAACGTGTTGATATTGAAAAAAGAAACCATATTTGTTCAATATTAGTTAATGGATTGACAAAATTAATTTGTTTTGTTTCTGGAATTAATTTATTTAATTCTATAGCTGTGCAAAATGTTGGATAATGTAAAGAATTAGGTTGAAAATCATTTTTATTCGATTCACTTAATAATAACCATCGAGTAAATCCATTATATGTTATATTAGGTGAATAATGACGTTTAAAGAATGTATATAATATTGATATTGGATCAATAAAACCTTGTTTTGAAAGTTTTAATGCAAAAGAACGTTGTTGTGACCAAAGTAATTCATCTATACCTAAAGATTCAATAGGTGTAGCTATTGATTTTTGTGTATATTTATCAAATAAATCTGTTGGTAATGGACAAGGTAAGTCAGACCAGAGAATTCTGTAAGATTATACATGTGAGAAAATGTTTTGTTTATTTTAGAAAAAAACTTACTCAGACGAATTTTTATTCATTTTTGTTCAAATGAAATTTCGTCTTTGTTTGTCAACAAGAGAAAAAATTTGATGATAATCTTCTTCTTTTTTTGAAATAAATGAATGAATGAATAAAATCGAAATGAATGATTTGTTAAATTAATAACAAATAAAATAATGAATAGATGTCGTTTATAATAGTAAAAAAAATATTTTCTTCTCCTTTTTCGATGCTGGGGAAGTTGCCATAGAAATTGAATTGTAGAAAAGTATGGTTATATTTTTGTAATCTTACATTAGTTATTATAACTTATAACGATACAATGGCTGCTGAAGGTGGTGAAGGAGAAACTCAACAAAAAGAAGAAACTAAAAGACATACCTATCCACTTATTCGTGTAAGAATATCTTTAATTTATTCCTAAATTCTTTAGAACTATTAAATATATTTTAGACAAGTGATATGAATGAAGAAATAAAAACTGAATGTATGGAATTATGTGTAACAGCATGTGAAAAATTTTCTCAAAATAATGAAGTTTGTATTTTGTAAATTTATTGAAATATAATTGATTTTATATCTTATTCTAGAATGCTGCAAGAATGATTAAAGAAACAATGGTTAGTTAAGAATACAAAAATTGAAATAATTTTCTTTTCTTTTTCTTTTCAAGGATAAAAAGTTTGGTCCTACTTGGCAAGTTATTGTAGGTGAAGGATATGGGTATGTTGTAAATTAATCATAGATATGGAAATAATAATTTTTTTGTCTCTTTTAGATTTTTTATTGAACATCAAGTTAAATCACTTTTATATATGTTTTTTGGTGGTACTACAGCCATCATTGTATGGAAATGTGCTTAAACGGACTAATAATTCATCTTTATTTTTATGTATTTTTGTTTCAAAACTTGAGCCTTTTAACATAAAATATAGGTGAAATGGAAACTAAAACAATGAAGTTTGAAAATAAAACGTATTGAATGCGTATATATATATGAATAACAATGGTTTAGTCTAGTTTACAATAAACATGTATACAAATAGAGAATCGTTGTATGTGCAAAGTGAATAATATGGAGTATTAATACATAACAATTTATCAATATGTAATCTAGGAGTCTTCGAATGACATACTATAGTTTTTGGAGTTTCGTTGCGTTCACGAAAAGCCAGTATATGGAAAACAATATCAGTATTTACAGCTATTGCAAACAGCAAAATAAGTTGAGATGTATTATTAAAATAAAATAAAATAAATACATTTATCGTACGAATTCAAGTACTATCATCAGTAGCTGAACTTATTTAGTCAAGGATCTGAATTAGCTTATCGCTATTCTTATTTGTACTATCAAGATCAAACTTTTCAACTAGACATCTATGTACATTTTCGACAGTTTGTATTTTTTGCTTCAGTCGTTTATCAAAGATAAATAAGAATCTTGGCAACTATTTTAAATTAAATAGTGACGCGCATTAATCTACTATTTGATTTCCAAATTATTTATCATTTTGTTTATGTCCATTCATCCATCAAATATCGATCCATGTGATATACGTTCACATAAATTTACTGCACTTTTATCTGAACCATTAGGTAATAAGATGTTATATAAATTACCCGGTATAGGACTTAGTACTTTAAAGAAAATGGAAAAACGTAAACAAATATCGAAAGCTGAAGATTTATTACGTGAATTTATTTATACACTTCAATTAGATCATGAACAATTTCGTTTATGGCTTATGAAAGATTATTCGTTACCAGAATATCGAGCTACTGAATGTGTCATTGCTTTGATTGATTATATTGAACAAGCAAACAAAAATCATTGGCCTTTACCATAAATTTTTTTTATAAAATTTAGAAATAGAAACTATAGGCAATTTTGATATATTCTGTTTCTGGCAATATTTGCCGTTTCTTTTTAATCTATAACATAAATTTGTCTTTGAAAATATGTCGATTGAAAACAAATGTTAGTAATAGAAATGAATATATCAGATAAATATTTTTAAAAATAAAAGCGTTAGAGTTATGTTAACACTTTTATTATTTTTAATAAATGTTATAGAAAGAATTGAAATGACCAATGATTTTTCTCAATCAAGTATGCCTATTTTTGTTTTGTTTTGAATGAATTGATGAAAACAAAAATCATAATTTAGATATGACATTATATTCAACAGAACCACAGATAATACAGAATGGTAATATTATATGTGTACCTATTAATGTCACATCACTCAAAGCTATTGTCATAAATGTATCGTCTAGTGTTGATCAAATAACACTTAAATCTATTGATGGACGTATCGTAAATCGTTTAACTCCTCGCGGTTATCTTTACATTCAACTATCTATATCATTACTATTATTTGATAGTCAAAAATGTTTTCAAATCGATTTAGATTTATCAAATGTAACGGGACATATTCAATTTATTTATAAATTGGAAAGTATAGAATCAAATACAAATACTATTCAAAGTTTGCATATGCATTTAACTAATAAGTTTCTATATATTCAAATTATATTTTCTTCTTAGATCATAGTATTTCATTTCCAATCAACGATCCATGTACAACTCGTCGTATAAAATGTAAAAATGGTGGTCGATGTCAAGTATCATCTAATGGACAAACAAAATGTCTTTGCCCAGAAAATGTAACCGGAACTGATTGTGAATCTAGTACGTTTATTTTTTCTTAAGTGAGATATTTTTTTATGTTTAAAATATAGTTGGTGTTCGATGTTCAGATTTAATCTGTATTAATCAAGCTAATTGTTCTTCTGATAATCGTTCATGTGTATGTCAATTAGGGAATCAAGGTCGAGATTGTTCAACGCGATGTGGTGAATCATATATTCAACCCAATATATCCTCTGATCGTATAATAAATGGAGAAACAGTAGTAAAAAATTCTTGGCCTTATATAGTCTATATTCAAATAGGTGAAAGAAGTTGGTGTGGTGGAAGTTTAATTGATTCATGGAATGTTTTAACAGCTGCACATTGTACTTATGGTAGACATACTCATGAATTTATTCTATGGTTTGGTGTTCATAAATTAGATGAACGTATAAATGAAATGAATATGGGTATTGTTGAAAAACGTTCTATTCAACAAATTATCAATCATCCAAATTATACAATATATCCAGTAAAAACTTATGAAAATGATTTAGCAATATTACGTCTATCACAATCAGTTGAAGAAACTGCTTATATTAGATATTTATGTATTTTACCACCTATCAATCGAATAATAGATATTCATTTAGATGATCAAGTAGAAATTATTGGTTGGGGTTATATAAATAAGCTTTTATCAAATGGAACATTTATTCGTCAAACAAATGAATTACAACAAGCTATGATTAGAATTTTACCAGATTATGATTGTATGGAATATAAAATCGATGATCAAATACTTTTTCAATCAAAATATATGATTTGTGCAGGATCAAAAGATTACAAAACAGACTCATGTCAAGGTGATTCAGGAGGACCTTTAATGATAAAATATAACAGCCAATGGTAAGACGAGAAATGTATTTCATCATTCTTATTTATCACATAAAAGGTTACCCTAGTTTTTTAAAAAGAAAAAAAAAATTTATCAACACGTATTAATATATATATCTATGTATTAAACGTGATTTATATAGTAAATAACAAAGATAAGAAATGATATTTTCGATATGAAATTTATACTTCTAAGATTTTTAAATCTTATGTAAAGGTTTATTTTTAGGTATGCTATAGGTTTAGTTTCATTTGGATCAACTGAATGTGCTAAACAAGGTGCTGCTGGTGTTTATACACGTCTTTCAATGTATTATGAATGGATATATCAGTACATGATACCATGAATAGCTATTATATATAAATACTCTCGCACAGACATATGTATTTTTTTTTCAGAAAAAAAAGAAAATGTAAACGGGTTCAATAAACACGATATACAACAAGAAACCATCCAAAAAAAGTAGAAATAAACCAATAAGAAGTAAACAGAAAGAACCGGCAAGAAAAAAAAACAGAAACGAGAAATAATGCTGAGAAATTTTTTTTTTCTTGTAGTTTGTATGCTTTAGTTAAACAACCAGAAAGGTATCACAGAGAAAGACAAATAGGACAAGAAGAAAAAAAGAAGAAGAAGAAGAAGAAAAGAACACTTATGACAATGCAATATAATATGTATATATATAGTGACAAATAAAAGAAAAGAATAAATAAAATAACAATATTGAATTGTATTCTTTTATTTATTTTAATCTTTAATGACAACAATAATGACTACGTTTCACAACTGATGAGAAGATATTTCCACAAATCAAATCTTATGTATACAGTGTTCAATAAGAGTAAACTTTGATTTAAAGTTGACGATTTCGAATCATTTGTATAATATCAGAATCAGCTGAACGAGCTGCACCAGCGAAAAATAAATTTTCAATACCTTTAATACACCAACCACGTATAGGTGGCATACGAAGAAGTAATTTAGCAAAACGTGCTACATCATCACTATGTACTTTTTTACAGTAAGATGCTAATGACATACACACTTTTTCACGTAATTCAGATACACGACAAGTATCAACAACGTCTTTCGCATCTAAAAAAACAAAATAATTTATGTCATTTGCTTTTTATTATTATTATTATGTATAGATTATTTTTTGATAAATACCTGGATCAAAAAGAAATATCGCCTTGAGACATGTTATTTCAACCTTGTCGACATTTAATTCACGGATTATTGTTACGACGTCATGGTAAAGACGAGTAATAAAAAATTGAAGTGATTGATCAACCGCTGTATGAGGTCGAACGTAGGAACCATCCTAAATATACAGTTTATAGAATATATTTTATTCTATATAAAAATAGCAGGATAAATGTCACTGAACTAAATGACCTATATTCCCCTAATACTCAATACATATTGTAAATGTAAGCCTTAAGGGAAATTAAGTTTTCTGATGTTTTAATTATCATACGAATTGTTTTATAAATACAAATACTAACCGATAGAATAAGACCACTATCTGGTGCCATAATCGATCTATAAGCAAGTGAACAACAGAGAATATCTCTCCATGAAGCTCGAACAAGTGCCACTTGATCATCAAGTGATAATGTTGAAAAATGTGGTACACGTTTTGCCCAATCAGTTAATTGTGCAAGTTGAGAATTAGTTGTTGATAAAAGACGATCATATGAACATTCTTCTTCATGAAATGAATCAATTTTTGGTTCGACTGATAATTCAGCTGCAATTAATTTTTCTATTAACATTTCATCATCATTATTTGAACCAGATGAACTAAAACCCATATTTGTACCGCCACTACCAACACTTGCACCAGGTGATGATGGTGATTCACCTTCACCACTCATGCCAGATTTTTGTCGTTCTTCTTGAACGGCTAAATGAATATTATTATAATGTTCTATTTAGATATAACAATAGGATGAAATGAAATATTTTTTTCATTACCTTCTTTTTTCATACCAACAGTAAGACATTTTTGATATCGACAATATTGACAACGATTACGTTGTCGTTTATCAATAATACATTCTCGATTATCTCGACATGTATATGTTAAATCTTTGCGTACAGTACGTTTAAAAAATCCTTTACATCCTTCACAACTAAAAAGCAGATTACATGTGGGGTTTTTTTGAAAATTATTAAAAATGAAACAAACCTATGAACACCGTAATGTTTGCCTGAAGCTTTATCACCACAAATAGCACATGCATATTTCGATGCAGCAGCTAAACTCATTCCACCACTTGTCGTAGCTGTTGGTGTTGAACTAGTTGATGAGTTTGAGTTGCCTCCAATACCACCAAATTGTCCTCCAGACGACATAGGAACTTAATATAGATTAAAAGATTATTTTTAAATTTATGAATTTGTTTTTTTTCTATACGTGGACTCAATGACGTTGGAGAATCACCGCCTGAACCACTTGAATAATTTGAATTACCGCTCGTATGTTGTATAGCTCCATTTTGTATCTGATTGGTAACATCCATTGGGGGTGAAAATGTACCATTATCACCATAACTAAAATCTATGAAGAAGAAAAATTATTCGAATTGATTCTTTTAACTATATATATTACTTGATTCAGACATATCTTTAATTCATGAAGTAATTAGTAAATCAATGAATATAATCTAAAAAAGAATAGAAGCGAATTACAATCAAAAAAAAAAGCTTGATCCCAATGCATTGCAAAAAAAATATATATGTTGTTCTTTTTAAGCTTTAATAATTTGATGTTGCTGGCATATCTTTCATTAAAGCAACACCGGATGATGTTCCAAGACGTGTAGCACCAGCTTGAATTATTTCTCTTGCAAAAGCACCATCTCGTATACCACCAGATGCTTTAACTTGCACATTTTTTGGTGAATATTGCCGTAATAATTTAATATCATCCATTGTTGCTCCACCGGTTGAAAAACCTGTTGATGTCTTAATAAAATCAGCTCCAGCATCACCAACAATTTGACATAATTTTTGTTTTTCGGTTTCATTCAATAAACATGTTTCAATAATAACTTTAAGAATTTTATTCTCACCGGAGGAATGTACTAATTTTGCTAACTGTTCAATTTCATTTTGAACATATTCAAAATTACCATCTTTTATTTTACCAATATTAATAACCATATCAATTTCTTGTGCACCATCATTCAATGCTTGTTGACATTCAAATAATTTCGTTTGTGTCGTTGTTGCACCAAGTGGAAATCCAATAACAGTACAAACACGTATTGGGTATTTATCGACAACATATTTCACATGACACGGTTGGATACATACAGTTGCAAATTTGTGTTCAACTGCTTCATTGCATAGTTGATCAAGTTGTTTTATTGTTGCATCAGGTTTTAATAAAGTATGATCAATAAATGAACCTGTCAACGACATGACTTACTTTCAGTCTTTCTTCTTCTTTTTTTTTTTTTCTTTAAAAATTCTTTGCTTGGCTTTCTTTCAAGGTCAACAAGGACGCGCATTCCTATTGGTTGATATTTTATTACCAATAGATTTGTATAAGAGTAACTTTATGTAACAGTAGAGGACGCTTGATGAAATAATTCACGAATATTTTTTCTATATAATGTTCAATATGAAATCAATGACAAAACTAAATTTTCTATGTATATATAATGAAATATGTTACAATTACTATTCGTCATTATAAATCATAGAAAGAACACCAATCAAAGTTTAGAGAGTACCTATTTTGTTAAATTGAAGCTTAACTTTACTTATAATAGAATGCTTTTAATAATTATTGTATTAGTTCTATAATGATGGATTTATTATGTGTAAGAAGAAAATGAAAAGCGTTTCCATAAAATCTGATTTAAGACTAGATTTCATTTAATATTAAATAAATTTATTGCGTGTTTTAAAAAGAAAAGCGTTATATAAAAGGAAATGCGGAATACTTTAACAAATAATATTCATACGAATATTAAGTATGTGAGAGATAAATTCATCAATGATTGACTATCTTTTAAGATTAGATTTTTTTTACAATCATATGTAAGTGTTAAATTATATAATAGCTTCAAGTAAATAACTTGTTGCTAATATATAAAAAGTAGATTTTCTTTTGCATGAAAAATCTTTTTAATAAAGTTGCTTAGCAATTATAAGACAAGAAATTTTTATTACAGTGATTATGTCATCTATCTTGATTTATGCGTATATAAATCTATTTATGTTTGTCTAGGTGACATGTTTTAGTTATTAAAACAGCTTAAAGGTTAAAAATAGATATAGTTTGCACTTTCATCTTTAGAATATCAAAATTAGTAATATTAAGTTTAATCGGAAACTTAGTGCACTATTGATAATTTATTATAAAGAGTGAAATTAACTTAAGCAGCTTCTTTATTCTCAACTAGGTTTTTTATTATAATAATAAACATCTGTGTATACATCGAAATAAACTATAAACACTATTACGTCTGTATTCAGTTTACTGCGACACGATCTATATTTATTAAGATAATTGCTAGTCTTTAGATTCATTTTCGGTAGAATAAATTTCTTCATTCAAGTGGATAAAACGTTTTGAGTTTCTTTCTCTTTCTGTAAAAAAATACAGGTCAAATGTCAGTTGTTCTGCATTGAAAAAATAAATTTAGGAAGTACCCAGTACAGTTAATAATAGGTTCACAAACTATATGAATAGTTTTCTATTAATATTTAATTAAAAGAATTCTATCTTATCTCTTTTTCACTCGATAATATAAAAATGTAATCATACCTCTTTATATAAATGAAACTGAAGAAAGAACATTATAGGCTTTACTGAATGGTTATATTCTTTTGTTTCTTTTCTATTCTATCAAGAAAAGAAAAAGTTGTCTCTCACGGAAGTTCATCAGGATAGATAAAGTTATGAAGGGTACAAAAAGCAACAAAGTGAAGTAACTTCCTGAAAGAAAAAAGAAAAAAAAAAGGAAGAACATTATGTTGAACTTTAGTCAATTATCATATTTTGCACTTTTGTATTGTCCTAGATTATATTTATATACAACAAATCTTTTTTTATTAATATCATGAAATTCATTCTCTTTTTCGAATGTCATATTGCTGATTATATCTAAAAAAAAGCCTGATTTTCTCATACGTTGTGTATTTAAGAATCAAGTAAAAATTTTTATCTATGAAAATATCATTAATTCTAAGTAAACTACATTTTTTTATCATGTGCATTTCTTTTATACGTCTGCTGTATATTTAAATAGATATAACTTATGTTTTTTTTTCTCATACAAAACTTGTACTTTGAATATGAGAATGGGTAATTGAAATAAATGAACGGAAATGAAATACATCAGATATTTTTTGAGAAAAAAATACATATTAAAGTCAATCTCAATTTCAAGAAAACCAATTAGAAGATGTTTCATTACAAAAAAGATGAAATACTATAAACATGATTAATATGTGAACAGCTGATATAATTAGTTTTTTTTTCTTGTCCAAGTAGGTTTCTTTTGACAGATTCAAATGAATAAAAGTTTTTAATGATCAGTAAATCTGTCAACGTAATCTGATATTTGTCTTTTTATGTAATTATGCTTTATCTCATGTACGTGGTTCTGTTACAAGTTTTCTTCTTTAGTATTACTTGACAATTTCAAGTAATCTAGGGGATGTAAATAGATTTTCATAAGAATCAGATTTCTTATCAACATAGACGTCAGTTGTTCTTACCTGTCTTCTAGTGATGAGGGTAATGATGATAAATAATCCATCTATGTCTGAAATTAGTTTCTTTCTGAAAAGCTAAATCTTCTATGAATTAATCAAGGCAAATTTTATAAAATATAGATAAAAAATTAGCTTATATAATAAAATTCCTATAAACTATTCTTTTCATCAAAAAGAGGTAATTTTATAGGAATTTTCCTAACAAAAGAATACAGAAACCGAATGACTTGATTATTGTCTTAGTAATTTACGTTCAATTCTTTATTCATATTGAATCGATTTTTGTAGTAAAACTGTTTAAATTCATAATGATCATTTCGAAATATAATTGATATATTTTCCGAAGTTTGAATACACACAAACAAGACAGGTTTCATGAAAAAATATCGTTCGATATAACACCACGACGCGCAAATCATCTATAATGTGCGATCATGACCAAGACTTCATAGTCACACAAACCTATAATTATTAGATAATATTATATTATTTAACATCGCAGATATTCTATGTAAACATCAACTGAATCGATTGATTGGCTTCTCTTATTTAATAAAAGAAAACTATACACTTTTATAATGAACTATACCAATCAGTTCTCTTTGTCCTTAATGACCTTGAAATCTATATGAAACATCACAAAATAATGATGATTCATTGGTAACAATGATTATTTTTATTTTCGTTATCATTTGTCTTTCTAAACGACATAAGTAAATATTGAAAATACAACATACTATGATAAAACGAAATAAATAGATAAACGAATATGCTTTAAAATATATACACACATCTAGAACACAATGAACAAGCAAACATTTATAACTAATCATCCTGAATGTAAATATTGTCTATTGTTTTTTTTGAATAAAAATTTATTAATTTTTCTTATTTGAATAGATGGATATAATGGTACTATTGATGAAATTTATCATAATGAATTTTCAACTCGTCTTCCTTCAGATCGAGTCTATCTCGATCATGCCGGTACAACATTATATACTCAATTTCAAATAGATTCTCATTTTAATCAACTTCGTACATTAACATTAAATAATCCTCATAGTGAACAAGAAGATTCCAAATCTTTATTATTAATTCAAGAATGTATTGAATTTATTTTATCAATATTTCAAACATCAAGTCGTTATTATTCAATTGTATTTACATTAAATACAAGTCATGCTTGTCAATTATTATCATCATTATTTCCATTTTCATCACAATCGGAATATGCTTATATGACTGATAGTCATAATAGTCTTATTGGTATTCGACAACAAGTTAAATCAAAAGGAGGTTCATTTTCAGTTATCGATTATCCTTCACATATTTATAATAAACAAACAGATTCAGATATTAATAATTGGTCCTTTCGTTGTGCTGGTCGTTCATCATCATCATCATCTGAAATGGAATCAGATAATCCATATTATTGTCTCTTTGCAACTCCCGCAGAAAATAATTTTAATGGACTACGACCACCATTAGATAATCTTTTAGGGCCTTTTATAAATGCACGAGAAAATCAATCAGAAAATTTTCCTATACCAGTTCATCGACGTCCGTCGAAATCATGTCATTGGTTAACATTAGTTGATTGTGCAAAATATTTATCAACACAACCATTTTCACTTTCAACATATCCAGTTGATTTCGTTGTTTTATCATTTTATAAAATCTTTGGTTATCCAACTGGTTTAGGTGCATTAATTGTTCGAAATGAATCATTAAAAATACTTAATAATGAAAATTATTTTGGTGGTGGTAGTGTACAATATATTTCACCATATGATGATAATCGTGTTATATATAAATCTGGTATTGATGCTTTTATTCATGGAACAATACCATTTACAACAATTCTTTCTCTTTATCATGGTTTTCAATTAATAACATGTAAATTATCATATAAATCGATATCATTACATACACAATGTTTAATTGAGTATTGTCGAAATGAAATGTGTAAATTAAATTATTCCAATGGACAAATTCTTTGTTTATTTTATGATGCAAGAAATAATTTATTAAATAAAAATAATGGTTATTCTTATGGACCGATTTTAAATTTTAATTTATATAATCGACATGGACAATTTCTTTCCTGTCGTTTAATACAACGAATTGCTGCTGATCATAATATTATTTTAAGAGTAGGAACATTTTGTGCACCAGGTGCTAGTCAAGCTTATCTTGGTAAGTTGGTTTAATAAAATATATTTATTGAATGATATATATATATGTTTTAGGTTCAAGTAAATCATTTGAAATTAATCATGAATGTCATCGTGGTCTTTTTTGTGGTACAAATAATGATGGTGAAGATGTTTTAGATTCTGGTCGTCAACCATTAGGTAGCATTCGTTTGAGCCTTGGTTGGATGAGTCGTTATGAAGATATTCAAAATTGGATTGATTTTCTTCGTCAAGTTATTTTACAAGGTATTGGAATAGCACCTTTATTACCATCGTTAACAGTAAATAAATATTCGAATGAAGAAATTATTTTAAATTTAACTCATATTTATATATATCCAATAAAATCTTGTGGTTCAATGTCAGTTAAAGAATGGCCTTTAACATCAATATCATTTTTATATGATCGTGAATGGATAATTATTGATCAAAATTTAAATCCATTAACACTGAAACGTTTACCATCATTAGCACAAATAAAACCTTTTATTAATCTTAAACAAAATCAACTTATACTCAATGCAAATAATCATCCATCATTTATTATTGATATTAATAATGGTTTGTTATATAGTTAGTTTCGAAAAGAATATTAATTTTTAATTTTTAGATTCAACAATTATTAAATCATCAATAAAGTTGAACGATGGAATTATATGTGATATGTATGGTGGTGAAATCGAACATTGGTTAACTAATGTTTTAGGTATTTATGCGACGTTAGCACGTCGTAGAAATGATAGTCAAATGACATTAGCAAATGAAGGTGCTTTTCTTCTTGTACATGAAGAAAGTGTTCGACAAATAAAATCTGAATTAAATGAAAAGGAAAAAATTACTCATGAACGTTTTCGACCAAATTTAGTTGTTGATAAATGTAATATTAATCAATTTTATTCTGCATATAGTGAAGATTTGTGGAAACGTTTCGTAATTTTAAATGAAGACAGTATTCAATTGAAAACAATTGGTTTATGTCAACGATGTTCAATAGTTAATGTTGATCCATTGACTGGAACAAATCAAAGTCATCTTTTTACTCGTTTACAAACACAACGAAGAGAAATTAATTCATTAAGAGCAAATTTTGGAATTTTATTAAATCTTTCAGAAATGTATAATAATACGAATTTTATTCGAGTTGGAGATCGAATTCAAGCTTTTAAATAATTAATATATATATTTACATATACATATATGTGTTGTTATCCTTTTTTTTAATATTTAAATAAAATAATTTTCAGTGCAATATATAGAAAAAACGTTTTTAATCAGAAAAAACAATGACAAATTTCGAAACGAAAAAGAACAGCCATAACAGACGACTAAAATAAAATAACTGAATAATTTCTCTTTCGACTAACTCGTATTATTAAATATGTTCAATGTTTATGAGAAGATGTACTGCTTGGTTTTTGTTATTTTAGATTTTATATGTAATAAGCATTCTTTATAATAGAATTTCATGTAAAATTTTTCATAAAAAATAAAATATTGAATAATGAACATTTCACTTTTGAACGGAATAAGATGAAGAGTGAAAAATAAAGACTATTGATAGTTGAGTCCATATTCTGCTCTACTTGTACAATTCGCTATAGTTTCTATTCACTGTTCATTTAATAAATTTTAACTTTTAGTACGTGGTCTGCTGAAAAACAGTGAAAATGATTGGATGAAACTCGTATAAAGAATCAATATATTTGTCAGATTCTAGAACTATGAACCGTATTTTTTCACTTCACACCGTTCTTTCGATATACGCCATAATCTGTCATATTGATAACAGAAATCGATTCAGATGTAATTATAATCTAAAAACTGACTTTAATTCTCTACAAAAAGGTTCATTCAGTTATATTTAGTCCGAAACTTAGTCACTTTTCACATCGATCAACAAACTGTCGAAATTTTCTCGTCTATATTTTTTCTTTCTATGTTTTTCTTCGACGATTCTCCTTTCGATATTTTTCCGTTCTTCCTTTTTTCATCCATTCGAATGAATAATCGTAAAAGAAGTACAATGTCGAATACAGAAAATATTGAAAAACATGTCGTACCTCATAAACATCGATTCTAATCCACGATAGCTTGACATTATAATCATCATTGATGGCGATGAGTTATCTTCGATAGAAAAGAATTGAAATAATCAGAAAACTAATATTAAAAACTGAAAATCTATTATAATGACTACAGTTCGTTCATCTACACTAGATGAAAATCAGCTACCATCGTCAGATATTTCATTTATTCAGTCATAAACTGGATATGTATACTTATTAAATAACCAGTAAAAATTCATACAAGTTGAGATAACACCTATTCTACGTATCTATGAGGAAGAATGTATCAACGCAATATTACCAAGTTATCATGAGATAGGTAAGCAAAGATTGTTGTTATGCATTTGATATTAAAAATAAACTTTTTTGTTTTTTTCAAAATAGTGTACTTAATAAAGCATGTCCTACTGGTACATTAAATATTCTGACGATACAATATTATCTGAAGTTCATAACATGTTTCTTTTCGACATTTTCTATATTTGTCCTCTTGGGTATTAGTTCGTTCGACTCTTCTATCAGTCAACGGTTTATTTGCTGATTTTGCTTTATTTTTTTTTTGAATTCGAACGGAAAAAAAATCAAGTGCGAATTTAAAAATTTATCTTCATCTTCATTTTATTCTAGTTATGATAAAACGACGTACCAAATAAATCGTTATCTTGTTAACTATTTGCTTATATGATAACGATTCTTTATTTTTTTTCCATTTCTTATTATCTAACACACACGAGCACATAAACTGCGACAAATATTAAAATATTTATTTTGAAAAATGGTGAAAGAAATAACGCAACAAGTCATACCTCCAACAATAGACTATCTCTTATTTTATGTTAATGGAAAACAAGTTATCGAACATAATGCTGAACCTGATTGGACTCTTCTTTGGTATCTTAGAAATAGTAAATATTTATGAATTAAATTATTATTTATTTAAATTTTTTATATAAATTTTAGAATTGAATTTAACGGGATCTAAATTAGGTTGTGGTGAAGGTGGATGTGGTGCATGTACAGTACTTATATCTCAATGTATTAATCGACATACAGGTCATCTTGAACATCGAACAGTTAATGCTTGCCTTGCACCACTTTGTTCTGTTGATGGTTGTCATATAATAACAGTTGAAGGATTAGGTTCTGTTGCTAAATCAAATCTGCATCCAGCACAATCACGACTTGCTGAAATGTACGGATCTCAATGTGGATTTTGTACACCTGGTATTGTTATGTCATTATATGGCACTGTAACATCATCAAATCATCCTCATTCATCATTAACAATGTTAGATATTGAAGAAGCATTTGATGGTAATCTTTGTCGTTGTACAGGTTATCGACCTATTCTTGATGCTGCAAAAACATTTGCAAAAGATCTTAGTCAATTACCATGTAAAGATTCATTAAAATCATCAAAACCAACAACAACAACATTAGATAAATGTCTTTCATTTGTTAAAAAAATTGATAAAGAACCACATCAAATAGAATTTCCTGATGAATTACGTCAACATATTGCTCAATCAATTTTTATTAAAGGTTTATATCATTTTAATTATAATTTATATTATTCAATAACTTTATATATCTATAGGTTCACTAATCGAATGGTATCGTCCTGTTACTCTTAACGAATTACTTCAACTTCGTTCTACTTATCCTGGTAGTGCATCGAAACTTATTTTTGGTAATACAGAAGTTCAAATTGAAACAAAATTCAAACGTTTAAAATATCCACGTTTTATATCTATCACACATATTGAAGAACTTCAACAACTTAAACGTACACCAACTTCATTAGTTCTTGGTGCTGGTGTTACTTTAACACGATTACATGAGAAACTAACGGAATGGAATGATCAAAAACTTGATGGAGGAATATGTCAAGCTCTTACTGATCAATTAAAATATTTTGCATCAACACAAATTCGTAATGTTGCTTCACTTGGTGGAAATATTGTTAATGCTTCACCTATGTAAATTATTCATCTACAATATGACTATTGAATGAAAGTTTTGTTTTTATTTTTATTTTAGTTCGGATGTTAATCCAGTACTTCAAGCTGCTAATGCTCTTTTAGAATTACATAGAGCAGAAGCGAATTCAATTCGACTTGTACCATTACGAGATTTTTTTCTTAGCTATCGTCGTGTAGCTATGACAGATGATGAAGTACTTGTTAATATTCATATTCCATTACCATCAGCATCATTGTCGTCCCCATCAAATAGAACATTTCTTCGATCATATAAACAAGCACGTCGTCGAGATGATGATATTGGTATTGTTAGTTCTGGTCTTCAAGTTGAACTTGAACCAATTGAATCAACTGATAAACAACAATGGCGTATTGTTTGCGCACATTTTTCATTTGGTGGCATGGGACCTACAACAATTTTAGCAAAAAATACACAACAAGAATTAATTGGACAATTATGGACAAAATCAACGATTGATAAAGCATGTGAATTAGCAGTAAAAGAAATGCCATTAAATGATATGACACCAGGTGGTCAACCAGAATATAGGTACGTATTTCAATAATAGAAGATAAATATATTTACATTATTGATATTATTCTTTGTTGTAGACGTACATTAGTTCAATCATTTCTTTTTAAATTCTATGTTTATGTTTGTTCTGAATTAAATAAAGAATCTGTTGATTCAAAAGAACTATCAATCGCTCATCCATATCATCGACCTGTGTCTCATGGTCAACAAATAATTCCTGAACGACCAACATCACAAAAAGTTGTTGGAACATCATTACCTCATCGTTCAGCTTATTTACAAACAACAGGTGAAGCTAAATATATTGATGATATGCCTTCATTAGCGCATACACTTCATGCTGCACTTGTACTTGCAACACAACCAAATGCTCGAATTAAAAATATTGGTAAAAACAAAAGATAATATCATTTTGAACGATAAAAAACTTATATATTTTAATTATTTAAAATAGATCTTGGTGCTGCTTCTAAAGTACCTGGTTTTGTTTCATTTGTTAATCATCAAGATGTTCCAGGTGACAATATGACAGGTGATGTTGTGCATGATGAAGAAGTATTTGTTTCATCAATAACACCATGTGTTGGTGCGGTAATTGGTATAGTTTTATGTGAAACTGAACGAGCAGCACATGCAGCTGCTCATCTTGTTCAAATTGAATATGAACTTTTAACACCAACAATTTATACAATTGATGATGCTATTCAACATCAATCGTATATAGGTGAAGAACGATGTCTTAATCAAGGTGATATTGAAAAAGCTCTAGCAGAAGCTGAAAATATTCTTGAAGATACAATCGTAATTGGTGGACAAGAACATTTCTATTTAGAAACAAATTGTTGTATGGTTATACCATCAAATGATGATAAAGAAATTACACTATATTCATCAACACAAAATCCAAGTAAAACTCAAGAATTAACTGCATTAGCACTTGGTTGTGATGTTAGTCATGTTCAATGTCATGTTAAACGTATGGGCGGAGGATTCGGTGGTAAAGAATCAAGATCGTATGTTTTATATAAGACTAATATTTGTCATATAGATATATTCGTATTCGTTTTATTTTTAAATTTAGAATTGCTCCATGTGTGGCATTAGCAGTTGCTGCTGTAAAAGTTGGTCGTCCTGTTCGTATGAATATAGAACGTGATGTTGATATGAGTATTACAGGACAACGTCATCCATTTAAAATTCATTATAAAGTTGGTTTCACAAATCAAGGTGAATTCACAGCACTTGATATTCGTCTATGGAGTAATGCTGGATGTTCATTTGATCTTTCAATGGCAGTCTTAGAACGTGCAATGCTTCATGTTGATAATACTTATCGATTTCAAAATGTTCGAGTACGTGGTCGTTTATGTAAAACACATTTACCATCCAATACAGGTTTGTTATCGTTCGAAAAAGATTTTTAGTAAATTTTCTTATATTTAGCTTTTCGTGGTTTTGGTGGTCCACAAGGTCTGTTTGGTTGTGAAACAATTGTTGATCATATTGCTACACATCTGAAACTTGATCCACTTGTTATTCGTCGTTTAAATATGTATAGAGAAGGAGATATAACACATTTTAAACAACCATTAGAACGATGGAATATTCCTCGATTAATGGATGAACTTCTTATATCAAGTGATTTTAATCAACGGCAAAAATCTATTGAAGAATATAATAAATTACATACTTATAGAAAACGTGGTATAACTATTCTTCCAACAAAATTTGGTATTGCATTTACTGCAAAATTTCTTAATCAAGCAGGTGCTCTAGTTCACATATATAAAGATGGTTCAGTTTTAGTTAGTCATGGAGGTATAATAAAGAAATATCTTTTATTTCTATATCGTTTTTTATTTTTTAAATTTTAGGTACTGAGATGGGACAAGGTCTTCATACAAAAATGATCTCTGTAGCTGCTGAAGCTTTAAGTTGCGATGTTGATCGAGTACGTATCAGTGAAACAGCAACAGATAAAGTACCAAATACAAGTCCAACAGCAGCATCAGCTTCATCAGATTTAAATGGTATGGCTATTCGAATTGCATGTGAAGAAATACGTGAACGATTAAATAAAGTTGCTGCTAATTATAATACAAATCTTTCATGGGAAGATCTTATTAAAAAAGCATATTTTTCACGTATTAGTTTAAGTGCACAAGGTTTTTATGCAACACCCGAACCGTTAGGTGCCGATTTTGCTAATAATGAAGTACATTTTAATTATTTTACACAAGGTGCTGCAGTTTCAGAAGTTGAATTAGATACATTAACAGGTGATTGGCATATTTTACGTGCTGATATTCTTATGGTAAATAATTTTAAAAAGTATTTTGTTTTCTTTGCAATTTTTTCTTATAATTTAAGGATGTTGGTACATCGCTTAATCCTCAAATTGATATTGGTCAAATAGAAGGTGCTTTCGTACAGGGTTATGGTTTATTTACTATGGAGGAACTTATTTGGGGTGATCAGACTCAACATAAATGGACAAAACCAGGTGCTTTATTTACTCGTGGTCCTGGCACCTATAAAATTCCATCATTTAATGATGTTCCACTTGATATGAGAGTAGAACTTTTATCCGATGCACCTAATCCTTTAGCTATTTATTCATCAAAAGCTATTGGTGAACCACCACTTTTTCTTGGTGCTTCAGTGTTTTTTGCATTGAAAAATGCTTGTATGGCTTATAGAGAACAACAAGGTTATACAGGATATTTTCCATTAAATTCACCAGCTACTGTTGAACGACTTCGTATGGCATGTACTGATGAATTTACTGAACGAGCATGTGTTCAGAATCATGAACAATTTCAAGCTAAAGGTTCTTTTTAAATTCCTTTTTAATAATTCTTGTATTTTCGAATGAATTGATTAATTCTGTAATAAAAAAAATATTCAAAAAATATTTCGAGTTTATTTATATATATGAATAAAAATTGAAAATATGATTTCATTCATCTCAATGTTACTTGCATTGGTATGACCTTGTCTACGAAAGGTAAGATATATCAATTAGAATCCTTCACTAGATCAAGTTACGAAATCCGATAAACTCAATATCACGTATACAAACATCAATAATTATCTTGCATCATTAATTCAGTATGTGTATTAATTACGCATAGACTAATACATCATGTATAAGAGTAATTCAACATATTGTACATAAAAACAAAACTTGTCGAATTTATCTATGCAATCTAATACAGAAATTTTTTTTTATACGGATTTATCGTCTAGTATAACAAAGTGTACATAAGTTATGTGTCTGATTTAAAACCCGTTATTAGTGAAATACGTAGATTGTATGAAGATTGCTATGATTTATGGTATATTTGTGATCGTTTTACTGAATTTGAAAGAATGTTGTACATGATTGAATATTTACAATAGAATAATCAACCTATTATATCACATCAAGATATTCATAATATTTTTTTTGATTTTTTATGAATATAATATATTTGTTTACCTTTAGGCAAACGTGAAGCTTTGTATAAACTTCAATGTCAAACTAGCACATTGATTCTTTTACATAAATGTTATTTTTCTTATCAGTTATATCCAACAAAAATTAATCATCGTGTATAATATTACAGTCGAACTAATTCTGGACGGTTATGAAAAGAAAATAACACTGGTTAAATCTACTAGTTATTATATTTAAAAGACCTTGATATTTAAAATCAATAACGATATTTTTAATTAACTTCTACTGCTGTATAACATATAGCAGCCCAATTTCGATTAAAAAAAGTATACTTGTCATTTAGAGACAAGTAGGTGTTCTTTCTAATAACAAATTATCATATTTCGAAACGTATACATACATGCAGACATACCGTCTATTAACATAGGTTATCGATATATATGGGTATAGTAATGAAGAAAAATATCAAAATTTACCAATAAACATTTTCTTCCTTCTTATTTACATTTTCTTGTCTTGTTACATTTCTCGTTAATTATCAACATAAAATTGTCCATATAAGAAAAATTATATACATACAAGAAACTATCTTGTATTACCATGTACTTTTCATTGTATTTGTACATATTAAGTCTTATTATTTGTTATACAACAGCAATAACGACAAATTTACCAACTAGATTTAGTATCAAGATAAGAACGCCAACAAATTCGTCATCATCATTTATACCAATACCATATGTATATATTCTATTAAATTCTTTTATAACGTAATTTCTTTTAGAAATCAATACATGTACGACGTATATTGCAAAATAGTAATGATCAATGGAGTATGGGTAAGTCTTTTTTTTTGTATCGGATTAAATATAAAAGGAATACGTAGAGATATTCGTTTTTGATTGAAATTCATATCCATGAAAACATTGATATATCGTACAATCAGTCACATTTCATGGAAATTGTCACAAATTGATACGTATTTTTTAGTTAAAACTGATAAATTGAAATATTTCATGTTTATGTTTCAGTTAAAATTAAACCATTTATTCCAAAATCTAATAAAATGGTTCGACAGTTGACTGTTCATCTTTGTCAAATATCAAACAATATTTTTTCTCATAGTACTATCTGGTAGAAATATTTCGAAATAACAAATAATAATTATTATATATTTTAATTAAAAGGTATGATGATGAAACATTTTGTAATGGTGCTCCATCGATGTTAGTTTATCAATGGACATCAAATTCATCTTTATCTCTATTTCATATGGATAATAGTAAGAATAAAGTGAACATGTTAGATAATTCTCATTTCATATATCATGTAGATATTGGATTTCAATTAGATAAATCAAAATCAATTGTACTTAGTGTAACTTACGCTGAAGAACGACAATTGTCTAAAGATGGAACAGGTGTTATTGTTTATATATCCACTATAACGTATGTTTTGTTTTCTTTATTTATCTAAGC